GGGGGTGTACACTGGGCCTTGAAACAAGTCTTGAATGGCAGCAGGGCCTGGAAGACTTGAATTTGTCCTTGAACTTTGCACCCCATATGAAAGAGTTGGAATTAAAACGAACTTTTATCTGAAGGAAACAGCCATCATTTTTCTGCCATGTTATGAGAAGAGGGAAAATGGAACATATTGTGACATCTGGAAAGATCTGTGGAAGGAGGGATAGAGGAAGACAACGAGAGAAGATTCTTGACAGTCTTGTTGCATGGCATGGAGGTGTGTCGGCACATGAACTAATACATGCTGCAGGAGATCGCAGATTGTGGAGAGGCATATTCGCACATGCCAGTCGGCAAGGCACCTGATGGTCATCATCATCCGAAGACCTGTGATTTTCAGCAGTTAGGTTATGTTTGGCTTTTTTTTGGCCTCTTTTGTTTTAAATGTTTCCGATAAGTGAGCAATCTATGGTCTGTTCATTGTTTGGTTTGCGGGTTAGATGTTGACCTCAAAGTCATGCAGATCTGGTATGTTCATAATGAGTGAGATACTCCAGGAAACCAAACCACAAGAGAATATAGCATTTGTACAACGTCCGTAAAAGAAAAATTATCAAACCAGTAAGCCTTGGGAAATACAGTGATTCGTCTGAAGTCTACCTTTGCCATCTTCAAAATATATATATATATATTTATATATAGGCCAGTTGCCTTAAGGAAAGCTAACGTGCAGTCAGTTTTCCAGCTAACAGCAACCTAACATGAGTACCAAGATGATGCTCATAATATTAGCCTTATCATAAATTTAAACCCAAGTTAAGTTGGTCAGTCAAACAAGTCGATTTCATTCATTGGCTGGAATGCATGGTAAACGTATTTTAAAGTAATGAATGCATAAATACTTGTAATAATGTAGATTTTGGCACTGGCATAAATGTAGATTTCATTCTGGAACAAATGTAAATTTTTTTACAGAATAAAATAAGACATCCTCTGAAAATAAACCCTAAGACTTCTTTTGAAGCCAAAATTAATGTTTGGAGCAAAAATTAATTTAAGACCTAGTTTATTTTTTGGGGACAACTTTGTTAATCAAAAGCAGAATAATTTATAAAAAAATAATATGATAGCATTATATGCTCAATACATTGAACAGGAATCCTTAACTGCACAGCATCAGACATATCGGAAGCTAAGTAGCTCCCCATAAAGTTTGAGGTTTGAACAACGGATCAACATCAAGGCACACGGGTAGTTACCCCTTCTTCTAACTCAAGTCTGAGTCCGAAGAAGCTCAGCACAGCGCAAAGGCTTTGTGGTAGGGATCCTGAAATACTTTTGAGTGGATAAATAACTCAAAGTTTTGCCCAGGCAGCGCCGTTAGGCTACTCTTTTCGATTTCCAACTGCCAAGAGATAATTTACACAGGCTTTGGATCTTACGACCCAGAGACCAGGGGAAATACTAAAAGTCCAAGCCCACGTGAAAAAAATCCCAGCCCTTACCGGGGATTGAACCTGGAACCTATAGCACTCAAGGCGGACACCATGCCTCAAGACCATGCAGCCTTCTTAGCTCCCCATAAAAGAAAAGACATTATTTGAACTCATTTGGTCCCAGACAGAGAAACATCTCATTTATTAGACTCTGGTATTAAGAGGTTTCCATCTTTACAGGATAATTACTGATGGCTTCACAAGACAGTTAATGATTTTAGTTGAAAAAAAAAAAGTAAAGGACCCTTTCTTACACCTTCAGGCATAATGGGTATATAGGGCTAGACCGATATTTTATAGACCAGTCGGCACTCGGTGGGTGATGTGGTCAGTATCACACCCACCGTCTTTACTTCCTAGGACTGCACCTGCTAGCCACTCATCAAGGCTGGGTCGACCTGGGAACCAAGGTCATTTTTGAAGGAAAAAACAATGTCATCTTCCAGGACTCAAACCCATGACCTTACCATACGCAGGCAAGCATCTAGCCGCTATAATGATTTTACAGGACATTGAATTTTGAATTATGTGTTCAGTGAACAATCAATAATGCATTTTGGGGACTAATGAAGAGTTATGGGAAAATTAAACCTGGCTTTATGGAAATATGCCAAATATAGATTATGTGTATGTGAAAATAATGCTCTTACATGCTTAACTACCTTCAAGGGTAGAAGAGGTACACAAAATATTAATAATTATCACTGTAGCACCCATGAAAAATATGTTTACAGTGTTTTTCTAAGGGACTCCATGATACATAAAGTCAGAGACTGCAAGAAATAAATAAATATGTACATTACAGACAAAACAAGCACAGGCTGTCATGTTTCGCCACCTCGTACAAAAACCAGAATCATGGCTCAGGTCAGTATTAGCTTCTTTCACTATAACCTTCCCCCAGATGACGTCACAGAAAAGTCCAAACATTTTAGAGCGGGGTAAGACTGGGTTTCCCGGCTTTCTGATGCTTTTAACGACCCCAAAACATCTAGAACTGGCCCTAACCCCAGCCCACCTTAGTCTCAAGAGAAAGTGCAGCCTAGGTCCCACGACTGCATGCAGCCCATCTACAACACCATGAAATATTTTACTGTCCCGTGACCTATGGATTGGACCTTTTTGGGGTAGGATATTAAGAAAGCACCCAATATTTTTGTCTCACTTCATTCATCTGGCCAGGCGATCTAGGTATTTATCTTTTTGCCCTCTTCTTACTCTCTTTCCATGAGCCTTGCCAGATCGGCAACCAAGCAGCAACAGGGCAGCAGCACAGCGACCAACACAAGGCAAGCCAAGCACCAGCAGCAGTCAGCTAGTACCCGTCAATATCATCGCAAAGAGATCTGGATCACACCAGAACCCAAAAACTACAATCACCGCAACACAGCAAGGAAGCAAACAACCATGATATCAGGTGTAATTACACACCACAAATAAAAGGAAATCATATAAGACAGCTAAGGACCCTTCTTCGATATAGCAGGCCTCCAGGCGGCTGAAAGAGGATCAAATTTGGAATTTTTGTTGGACGAATTGGAATTGGAATGGTTCATGGGGAATATTTAGAATTACCTAGTCGCAGGCAGTATAGACAAAAATCCCCACATTTCCATCCTTAGACAAATCGATGCCTGGGTAGGTTATAGCACGCCGGTTATGATCTAAACTTGCCCACCAGTGAGGAAAAAAAGAGCAGTCATTGCTTTGTATTTAATTTTCAAAGTCCACCATTAGACACAGTCTCCTCATGTCTGAATTTGTCTGTAACACATGTTTCACTAGCAGGATCAAAGATTTGATGACATCAGTTTCTGGTTATCAAAAAAAAAAGCAAAATATTTTGTAAAATCATCATAATGCGGCTTGAAAAAGGAGTAGATAAATGCCTACGAGTGGAACAAGCAGGATTCAGAAAGGGCAGAGGAACAACTGAGCACATCTTCGCCATACGGAACATTTTAGAACAATGCAACGAATGGCAGAGAAGTATATATAATAATTTTGTGGACTTTGAGAAAGCTTTTGACAGCGTCCATAGAGACGGTCTGTGGAAAATTTTACGACATTATGGAATTCCAGAAAAAATAGTCAACATAATTGCTCTCTTCTATAAAGACTTTTCCTGCAGTATAAAAAATTACAATACACCTTTCCCAGTAAAGATGGGTGTAAGACAGAGATGTGTTATATCATCTCTCCTCTTCAACCTTGTGATTGATTGGATACTAAAGAACACAGTAGACAGGACATTAAGAGGCATACGATGGACTCCATTCACCATGCTTGAGGACCATGATTTTGCAGATGATATAGCACTCTTATCATATTAACATGAACATATACAAGAGAAAAGTACTGAGAATAAATACAAAGAAAACTAAGATCATGACAAACAGTCCAAACCAACAACCAGTGACCATAAGTAACCAATCACTTGAAAATGTTGAACATTATACGTATCTTGGCAGTGTGGTGTCCCAACTGGGAGGGACAGAGGAAGACATACAGTCACGTCTGAACAAAGCTAGAGCTGCTTTTGGAAGGATGAGGCAAATCTGGAAATCTGGAACGAAACTCCGACTCTACAAGAGCATCATTTTGCCAGTTCTTCTCTATGGAGCGGAATGCTGGAGAATGACCAAAAAGGATGCACACAAGCTGTCCACCTTCCACCACACATGTCAACGTAGAATTATCAAAATTTTCTGGCCAGATACAATCTCAAACTCTAAACTACTTCAAACCACAAACCAAGAAACTTTAGACAGTATGATAACCAAGAGAAGATGGAAATGGCTTGGCCACGTTATGAGAATGAATCCTGATATACCTGCCAAAACAGCTCTCACATGGACACCAGAGGGAAAGAGAAAACAGGGGCACCCAAAAACAACATGGAGACGAATGATGGAAAGTGACCTGAGTGCGGCATCTTTGACATGGAAAACTGCATTGACAGGAAAGCATGGAAAGTCCTCTCTGAAGCCTCATGTGCCACTAGGCATAACGAGAACTGATGATGATGACTGTTTTTAGAATATCAGTTTCTGGTTATCACTGTTTTTAGAATATCACTTATTTTTTTTAAATTTAGATTATTTTTTTCTTTCTGCTTTTGTGTGAGCTCAAGGGCCAGATTATATAATAACTTTACACCCTACTCAAAGGCCAGTAAAAATTGCTCGGCGGACCAGCTGTGGTCAGCAGGCCATAGTTGGACCAACCCTGGCTTACAGCTTCCCTTTGTCTCAAGGAGAGTGCCCTATCAATTTTTCTATAATTCTGTTATATTCTTTGCATTCTGTTCAAAAGCATCTCCAGTGCGAGTAAACAATCATCAACAAATTCTGTGAATAACTAAATATGACAGTAAATTATCCATGTGCCTTCTTTCTCTGTGTTGCGCACGCACGCACACACACACAATCAGTATCTAATAATTTAACAATAACAGTTATAAAGCAGCTAACAGATGAACATATTATGACAAATTCAAGTCTAACATTCCTGTGCATCAAGAACTGTTTTCATCTCTACTGGCTAAAAGAACAGTTCTTTTAATGTTCATCCTCTTTAAACGTGCAGCATTCATTGCTGGGGTCAGAACTAACTTCTCAGGAGACGCAGGCAGTATCTGTCGTCCTCGCGGGGTGATGAGAAGATCTGTCTCCAGATAGGAGCTGGCGGTCTTCTGAATGTGTTCTATGAATAACGACAGAGCCATGGAGACTTCCTGTACGGAGGAATCTATCTGGCACAGCTGAGACTCTGATAGAAGCGTGACGTCAGTCAGGTCAGAGTCCAATGTCCCGTTGGAAGTTGAATTACTTGAAGCAGTTACTGACATGGAGATGTTACTCTGAGAAGAAACTGACGATAACGATGAAGATAATTCTAGGCCCCTCGAGGATGAAGATGAAGAAGAAAATGATGAGACAGAAGGGTTGGACATTTCTTTGGAGTGATTGTGTGAAGCTGGTGACAATAAAGATGGGATCACAGATAAGGAGGTGTAGGAATAAGATGATGCTGTGAGGAGTCTTTGTAAACTCTTCTGGATCAGGTCTGCACATCGTTCGAGTCTCTTGCTGTCCCTGCTTGTACCTAGGTTAGGACAAAGAACAGAATCAGATCATTACATGGCCTTTACAACATCAAGTAAACATACAATCACTGATCAGAATACATCTAGTTTAACCTCAGAAAGTATATGTGCTGCTTAGATTACAGAAAGTATATGTTCATGTCTAGATGGAATATAGAAAGTATAGTCTTGTCCAGAAAAACTATAGAAAGTTTATTCTCCTGTCTAGATTAAATACACAAAGTATATGTTATTGTCTAGATCAGCGGTTCTAAACCTGTGGGTTGCGACCCTTTTTTGGGTCGAACGACCATTTCACAGGGGTCGCCTAAGACCATCAGAAAACACATATTCATTAAGGTTATGAAGACACAATCTGGCCTGTTCCAACCACAATGAAGACAAAGCTGTATGGTACATGAGAAGATGTGGACTGCACAATAGCTTTCATAAGGGCTACTGGCCTTCTGATATAAGTTTTCTGACAGAAGGATCAAAGAAGAAGAAATGTTCTTAGTCTAAAGAACTGTGTTATCACATTAATTTGCTTATTAACTGTTTTTATACAAAGTGTCCTTGGCTTTGTGTTTTATAAATAGTTAGATTAAATACATAAAGTATGTGTTATTGTCTAGACCAGCGGTTCTTAAACTACCTGTCGTGACTCTTTTTTGGGTTGAACAACCCTTTCACCGGGGTCGCCTTAGACCATCAGAAAACACAAATTCACTGAAGTTATGAAGGAAAATAATTGTATGGCTGGGGGTCGCCACAACATAAGGGAACTGTATGAAAGGGTCGCAACATTAGGAAGGTTGAGAGCCACTAGTCAAGACTAACTACAAACCCTCTTGTATATGCTCCTGTCTAGATTAAATAAATAAAGTATATGTTATTATCTAGATTAACTACAGAAAGTATCTGCTTTATCTAGATTAAATACATAAAGTTTATATTACTATCTAAACTAACTACACAAAGTCTAGATTATCTACATAAAGTATGTTCTTACATAGATTAACCACAAAAATTATGTTCTTGGATAAATTAACTACCAAAACAAATACTCTTGTCTAGACTAACTGAAACATATATTCTTGTCTAGATTAACCAGAAAAAAGTGTGCTTCTGTTACTTCTATATCTACGACAGAAGTCAACAACTATGAATATAATATAAAAATGATTTCTCACCCAGAACAACTGGTTCAGCAGACTGGACCAGGAGAGTGGAGGCATCAACAATAGCAGAGATGCTGGCAACAACTCCCTGGAGTCTCTTGTAGGTGCTGGCATAGTACTGAGCTGACCTGGGGTTGGTAGTGTTGGTTTCTTGGTGCAAGTCTCTCTGGACTTGTAGAGTCTTAGACAGGAGAGCTTGGAGACATGATAAGACATGAGACAAGCGCTTGGACATATCGCTTGAGGCCTGAAATAAATTGGGGAAACCCATTAAGTTCATCTTCATTATAACATTTTCAAAAGTAAAGGTCCTTTTTCCACGACTTCAGGCGTATAGGGCATATAGGGCTAGACCTATATTTTTTTAGACCAATCAGCACAAGATGGGTGATGTGGTCAGTATCACGCTGGCCACCTTTAGTTCCCAGGACCGCACCTGGTACCCACTCAAGGCTGGGTCAACCTAGGAGTCAAGGTCATTAAAAAAAAAAAGGCCAGCTCCCCCAGGGAGCGAACCCAAGACCTTTCAATTCGCACGCAAGCATCTAGCCGCTACGCCACAGCGACTACTATCTTCTTTATACTGCCTTCATATCCAAATAGTTCACCACTGTGCCCATATGGGCTATGTGAGCAAACTACAGAGCATGTCCTGCAAGAATGTCTCTTATCATCATTATCAACTGCGTGGGTGATCATGCCTCTCTAAAATCTGCGGTCTTCAGCTGCATGTAGCGGTATTTGTGTTGTCAGCCCTCCCTGCCATGACAAAATGCCATCAAGAATCTTCTTGCACCGTCTCCCTGTCTTTCTTTCCAGTGGTCACATGTTCCAGTTTCTTTTTTCTCATAACATTACCAACAAATGTCAACTGTCTGTAGAAAAAAAAGAGACAGAAGAAAACAAAACAAGAAGATGCTCAACAGCCTTTTGTCATGAAATGGAGGAGTGTCAACACACAAACTGATGCATGCTGTTGAGGTTCGCAGATTTTGGAGAGGCATGACCTTCATGCCAGCTGGTGATGATGGTTCTTGGAAGAAGGAGGGATGAACCAGCATGAAGACAGACATGAGATATTGGAGACAACTTGAATATGTAAATAAGTTTCTGGATTCACGCCCTGACGGAGCCTGACTTTTTAAAAAAAAAAACCTTGACTCCCAGGTCGACCCAGCCTTGAGTGGGTACCAGGTGCAGTCCTGGGAAGTAAAGGTGACTGGCGTGATGCTGAACACATCCCCCACCAAGTGCCGACTGGTCTATACAAATACAGGTCTAGCCCTATATGCCCAACAGGCCTAAAGCCGTGGAAAAGGGACCTTTACTTTTTACTTTGAATATATAACTACATGAGACAGGGGAATTAATCAACAAATGTCTTTCAGGATCACCATGATGGAAGAGACTTTCTACAAAGGACCTACAAGTTAGACAATGTGAGGGCCCTTTGGGAGCGAGTGAACAGCGCTAAGGTGCAGACAGATAATTACAGTCTAAGGAGAATGGCACTGCGAGGAGTTACCAAGAGTTATCTGGGCGACGCTCAGCACTCAGTGGAGGGATGAGACGGATATACAATCAGATGGTCACTAGTACCATCAGAATTGGAACTCTTGAAGATGGGGACTGAGCACTTATGGGAGTGTTCCGAGTGCTGTGATGTCGATTCTTAATTCAACATTTTCTATAAAGGAAGTGCTAAATGACGGCGATGATAACAAAAAGAAGTGATTCTTACAGACTTGGTATCCTGGCTGTCCTTCCAGCGTAAACACCGAGCTTCACTGTTCTCCAGGGATAAGACAGAGCCCTCGAGTGTCGAAATCAGAAAATGATTACCTCCGGCCAGAAAATGCTGACAGACACTTGAACTCAACTGCAACAGTACCAGTAAAAGTTGATTAATATCTTATTATTATTATCATTATTATTATTAGTGTTCACCATCGATAAACGCTGGAGGAAAGTTATGTATGCTGTCACTTTGTTTCCCTCTGCTTGTTCTTTGCGTTCACCAGCTGTAAGCTCCGGTGGAAAGTTATGGTTGTTTGCCACCTCTGGACCTTAGTCTTATTCTAGAACCAGAGTTTTGCGTTAAACAGATCTGACTTAACTGTATGCAGATTTTTGGTTCCTTGTCTCTCAGGCAGATGCACTCTGACTTGGAAGGAAGCCCCCAATACGTCGACTCTAACGACATGCTTGTTGCGGAGGCAGCTATTCTCACTTTCCCCACAAGGGGGCTTAGAACCCACAAGGGGGCTTAGAAGCCACACAAGGATTTATTAACATAAAAAAGGAAGGGTTTTGATTATTTTTCTTTGTTGTCATCATCTTTTCCAGTGCTTGCCCTGGAGCAGTGATTGGTGATCATGACACCCTGCTATACTCTTCACTGTCATCTGATAGTTATATTGTCATAAATTTATATGCCCTATTAGTTGCGTATCCTTTCCCGGGCGTTGCAGAACCAAACCCAGCACTTTCTGGCTGTTGCAGTTTTTCTAGGCAAATGTACGTCCAGTAGTTTGCCATTGCTTTCTGGGCGGCCGGCTCTCGGTACCACCGTCGAAACCATCGCAGGACAAACCGTCCACAGCAGGGATCGAACCCGGCACCCCGACATTACGAAGCGTGTTCGCAACGCCTAAGCCATATGCCCTATACATAAATACAAATTTAAAGTTTACTATTAAAAAGCATTTCTTACTAGAGCCACTAGAAGAGGACATAATAAAATAAGAAAGACAGATGTGAAAGAAGAAAAAAAAATGATTATAAATGATACACTGCAAAAGGGAAACAAAAAACAGAGGTTAGAGTTAGGGAAAAAGCCCTGGGCAGATGGGGGAAAAAGCTTTTAAAAAAAAAAATGACTGAAAAACAAATGATGCAGAAAGAGGAAATTTTGAAAAGGAAAGATTAAAGTGACCGCAAGACTTAGTTAGAAAGGGGAGAGAGAGAGAGAGAAAAGGGTGCAGAAAGGAAAGAGACATAAAGGAAGAGAAAATGGGACAGGCTCTGACCTGACTGCTGCTGCCCATAGATGACTGTTCCAGTCGGAGCACACTCATGTCCGTGGCTAGGGACAGCTGTCCACAAGTCTGACACAGAGACAGAAGGGCACTGGTCAGTTTGTCCACACTCTCTGAGATCAGGCTGCCTAGCTGACCTTCACAGCCCTGTAACATAACACACATACAAGTCTATCATCATCATCATGTTTTCACTTTTGCAGTCAAGTGTCAGAAGGAGGAACAGTTAGGGATCTATTGCTTAATGGGCATCAATGGCTACCGTCGTTCCGTGTTAATGTAGACGTGTCATCAATCCACCTCCCCTTGTGGGTTCCAGGGCCCAATTGTTGGTTCTGGGGCCCCACTGTGGGGAAAAAGAGAGCAGACCCCTTGTCCCCCTAACAAGCATGTCACAAAAGTCGATTAATATGGGGGTGTTTCTTTCAAAGTCAGAGTGCATTGGCCTGAGAGGTGAGAAACCAACAGTCTGCATACAAAAAAAGCCAGATCTGTAATAAAAAAGACTGGCACACAAAACTCAGTTTCTGGAACAAGACTAAAGTCCAGAAGAGGAGAAACAAGCAGAACCTTTGGCTGAAGTTTACATCTGGTAAAAGCAAAAAAATAAAACAGCGATGCATCCACCTTCTCCTAGGACAACCTCTTACTTTTACATCAGATACTTTTCATGAGTATCACCTGTGTTGGTAGTTGCTGTGCATGTATACTGACGAGGTGACCAAACAATCTTATGTTCTGATTCTCAATTAATCTGGTGTTAACATGTGCCGGGGTCTTTTCTCAATAGAAGTGTCATTTTTGCATGACGCCGGCCACCACACAGCTGCGCAGACAGTGGATACACTACAGACTCTGCAGTTTGAAGTATTCAAACATCCAGCATACAGCACACACTTGGCACTATCAGACTTTCATTTGTTTGGCCCGTTGAAACAAAATTTGCAAGGTCAGAGATTTGCAGATGACGATGAGATATGTCGGTGGTGCAAATTTGGTTACTGGCCACACCCAAAAGCTTCTACCTGGCAGGTATCCGCAATCTTGTGGATCGGAAGACTACATGTGCAACTACATGTGCTGCAAGGCAGGGAGACTATGTCAAGAAATAGAATACAGAACAATTTTGTCTTCGGCCACTTGTTTTTAAAAAAAAAAAACTTATTAATGCAATTGCCTTTACTTAATTTCTACTCGGAACATGAACCTGATTTTTCGGTCCCTTAGAATTCATTTTAAAAAGGTTTTACTGTACTGGTGTTCCAGAGTTGAGCATAGCATACCTGGAACAGTGAGGTCGCTTGGTGGGCAATAGTCTTGACCTGATCTGTGCACTTGGACAGAAGCTCACGGAGGAACTCTGACTGGAGTCCATCGCAGATGCTTGACCACAAGGTTGTCAGAGAGGCCAGCAAGTGGACATCTGCAGCGAGATTTAATATTGGCTGGGACAAGGTGTTGTTACTAGTGGCTGAAAAAACCAAAAAATACTTGGTGAGACTCAGTGACAGAGCTAGTTTGGGTTAATGTGAGGGAGAGAGGAGGAGGAAAGAAAGAGAAAGAGAGATAGAGGAAAGGAGACAGAGGGTGAGGAAGGGAAGGAGAGGCAGAGAGAGATGTCAATGGCCTTTGTGGCCATGGGACGACTGTAGGTGATGATAGGGAAAGACAGACTGGCACTTTAATGACAGCTTAGTGACTATGCATTCAACAGCCCACGGGAGTTTCCGAATAGGATATCGTGACGGACAAGTGAACACTCCAGATTCACTGAGATTTGGCTAACCCGAGTGTCTAACCCATATCTACGTAGAATTATCAAAATGTTCTGGCCAGATACAATCTCAAACACTAAACTACTTCAAGTCACAAACCAAGAAACTTTAGACAATATGATAACCAAGAGAAGATGGAAATGGCTTGGCCACGTTACGAGAATGAATCCTGATATACCTGCCAAAACAGTTCTCACATGGACACTAGAGGGAAAGAGAAAACAGGGCCGCCCAAAAACAACATGGAGAAGAAAGATGGAAAGTGACCTGAGTGCGGCATCTTTGACATGGAAAACTGCACTGAAGATTGCACAGGACAGGAAAGCATGGAAAGTCCTCTCTGAAGCCTCATGTGCCACTAGGCACAACGAGAACTGATAAGGGTTAGGGACATGAAGGTAATGTGAGATGAGGAAAGTCGTGCTGCCCACACTGACAGGAATGGCTGGCACAAAATGTGGTGATGTAAACCGAACTGAACGAACAAATAAAACTTTACTCTTTTAAAGGGTCACAAATTGGGCACACAGGCCCGTCTTATATTCGGCCCTTCCAGACACTCAACTTTCACACTTATGAACTGTGTTTTTTATCTACAGAGCATATTATGTTCATAGAGCACAATGCATAGTATGAGTGTGAGGTGAAAACTACAAAAGCATGGATGGCAAATACATACATTCAAATATAAATACAAATATACACGCTTGCTCATACTTACACATACAAACCTACATACACACTCATTTATATAAACACGCCCACACACACATAAACGCACATATAAACATTCTGCTCCAAGATAAAAATACAAACCCTCACCTCTACATACATACACACTGACTGCACAGTAAGACCATTGCTCTGAGAAAAACAAATAGAAGATAGTTATCCCTACCATGGCTGGAGCTCCTCGTGTGATCCCTGTTGGAGATACTGGTGCTGTTGCTGTAGATTCTCTGGCACACGTGTAGCACTTTGTCCACCATGGACTCCTCCAGATGCAGTGCTGTAGGCAGAGCAACAACAAGTCTCATCTAACACTCAACACATTCAATATCAAACTCATGGCAAAACATTCACCTCCAGGGCTTGTTTTGCTGAAGAAGAAGCAGAAGAAGAAAAACAACAAGAAACAGTAGAGGAAGAAGAAGAACAGAACAACACAAATAATTAAAAAACAGTAGAGGAAAAGAACAAGAAACAGAAGAACAACAACAAGAAACAGTCGAGGAAAAAGAACAAGAAACAGAACAACAACAACAACAAGAAACAGTATAGGACCAAACAAGGAGAGCAACAAGAAACAGCAGATGAAAAAGAACAACAAGAAACAGAAGAATAGCAACAACAACAAGAAACAGAAGAGGGAAAAGAAGAATAACAGAACAACAAGAAACCTTAGAGAAGAAGAAGAACAACAACAACAGCTGTAGATGCACAAGAAGAAGAAGAAGTAGAACAAGAGCAGCAGATAGAAAAAGAAATAATAAAAGAAGAATAAGAACAACAAGAAGGCAGTAGAAGGAGAAAAGGAAAAAGGACAGTAACAAGACAACACCAACAACTAGAATGGTAGATCTAAGAATCTTGGTGGTGACATGGTTTGCCTCATACAGTGAAAGTCATGGATTCAGCTTCAGACTTTGTCATTTAGCTGTGGAGGTGTTTCAGAAATCCCCGGCAGTTGTGGTGGAGCTAAAGAATTCATGCTTTATATGGAGTTATCAATGGGAAACTTTCTGCCATGATTAACCGTATATGTTAGTGGTAGTGTACTTACATCACTTGCACACACACCAGCACTGAACTATATCGGTAGACAATGGACCAAATGGTTTGGCATGTAGCCACACAGGGCATCAGAGAGAGAGAGGGCAATGTTATAGAGATACAAAAGCAGCAAAGCCAGAGGTCGACCACAAAGAAGATGGACTGCAGAAATGTCAAAGACTGAAAAGTGCTATTTATAAAGTAAACGGAAGGGCCCATTCCAAAGAGATTTTCCTGCTCTGACATTGTGAGGCATTCGAGGAGTAGAGGAAAGAAGATGAAGAAGTCACATGGACAAGATATCATCATGACACAGAGAACGCCCACCTGATAACATTGTACAGCACTTACCTTAGAGATTGTCCCCAACATTGGACAGCACTTACCTTAGAGATTGTCCCCAACATTGGACAGCACTTACCTTAGAGATTGTCCCCAACATTGGACAGCACTTACCTTAGAGACTGTCCTCAACATTGGACAGCACTTACCTTAGAGACTGTCCTAAACATTGGATAGCACTTACCTGAGAGACTGTCCTCAACATTGGACAGAATTTACCTGAAAGACTGTCCCCAAAAGTGGACAGCATTTACCTGAGAGACTGTCCTCAACATTGGATATCACTTACCTGAGAGACTGTCCCCAACATTGGATATCACTTACCTGAGAGACTGTCCCCAACATTGGATATCACTTACCTGAGAGACTGTCCTCAACATTGGATATCACTTACCTGAGAGACTGTCCCCAATATTGGATAGCACTTAACTGAGAGATTGTCCCCAACATTTGATAGCACTTAACTGAAAGACTGTCCCCAACATTGGATAGCATTTACCTGAGTCTGTCTTCAACATTGGATATCACTTACCTGAGAGACTGTCCCCAACATTGGATATCACTTACCTGAGAGACTGTCCCCAACATTGGATATCACTTACCTGAGAGACTGTCCCCAATATTAGATATCACTTACCTGAGAGACTGTCCTCAACATTGGATATCACTTACCTGAGAGACTGTCCTCAACATTGGATATCACTTACCTGAGAGACTGTCCTCAACATTGGATATCATTTACCTGAGAGACTGTCCCCAACATTGGAAATCACTTACCTGAGAGACTGTCCCCAACATTGGATATCACTTACCTGAGAGACTGTCCCCAACATTGGATATCACTTACCTGAGAGACTGTCCCCAACATTGGATATCACTTACCTGAGAGACTGTCCTCAACATTGGATAGCACTTAATTGAGAGGCTGTCCACAACATTGGATAGCATTTACCTGATAGACAGTACCCAATATTGGATAGCATTTACCTGAGAGACTGTCCCCAATATTGGATAGCATTTACCTGAGAGAATTTACCCAACATTAGATAGCACTTAACTGAAAGAATGTCCCCAACACTGGATAGCATTTACATGAGAGACTGTCCCCAACAATGGACAGCATTTACCTGAGAGACTGTCCCCAACAATGGACAGTACCTCAGAGACTGTTCCAAGATGCAGGGCACTTACCAGAGAGACTGTTCCCAACACTGGACAGAAGACCCTTGCAAGCTTTCACCATAGACACATCCACCTCCTGGCTACATCTAGGGCTGAATTCACCAGAACCTGAGTGTACAAATAATCAAACCATAATGTAAACACACACATGGTAATGCTTAATGCAGGATAATGATGACTCAAATAAAGTCCACAGGAAGACTCCGTAGAGTTCAAATCTCTAGGAAGCATATTTAAAGGAGATAGTGGACCCAACAGAGAGATAAAGGCAAATGTTGTCACTTATCAATAAGCCCTACTGTTCAGGCACCAGAATGCCTCTCTATCAGCAACACAAATGAATACCAGCATCTTCATCCCCACCTTGTGCTGTCAGTGCCAAACACAGACAATGAACAGATCACAGAATATAACTGCCTGCAAAAGGTCCTCAACAACACAAGGGACAGGGTCATAAATGCCAGCATTAGAGAGAAGGTTGGGAGAAGATCCTATGTGAACTACATTGAAACCCCGCGTGGGTTCCAGGACTCCATTGTCGGGAAAAACTAGAATAGACGCACTGCCTCCCCAACAAGCATGTGGCAAGATAAGACTAACTGAAGGCTTCCTTCAAAGTCGGAGTGGTAAAGAACAAACAGTTTGCATTCAAATAAGTCAGGTCTGCAAAACAAATGTACACGCAACACTCTGGTTCTGGAACAAGATCAAAGTCCAGAGATGGATGAACAACCAGAACTTTCCGCCGGAGTTTACAATGAAAGACACAGAATGACAGGGTTTGGCCATCTAGTAAGAATGTAGCCAGATCAAACTGTATATGTGATCTTCTACAACAGAACTTCTGGTGTAGGGGGAGAGGCAGACCAAGGAAGAAATGGATAAACGACGTAGTTAAATCACACAGAAATCTGAACAAAACCATCACACAAGTCACCCGAGAAACACAAGAGAAATACAGAAAGCAATGACACTGGGCTACAATCTGGTAATAGTGTGATAACAAAAGAAGACAGAAGAAGAAGAAGTAGAAGAAGAAGAAAACTTAGAAGATCTGAAGAAAACTATATACAACCTTATTATCTTAGGGGTGTAATCCTGATAACGACTCGATCTAAAAGAGCCTCATTTATACAAAAAATTGTTTTATCTGTGTAAACAGTACATTTGAAGTACTACGCTAATTCATTTCAACAAAACATCTATCTTGTGTACAACTCAATATGGACAAATAAATCAACACAAATGGAAAGTAAAAAAAGGTCAGCTTTACAAGAACATAATCACAGGTAACTGCAGCTAAAACACCTTCATCAGCAAACAAACAAACAAAGCACATGAAAAGAGAGATGATGAAAAAGAATAATAAACCTACACTTAAAAACATCCAGGCTCCATATGACATTCACATAAACATTCATCCTTACACACATTCTTGACTCTCTCTATCCCTTTCATGAACACACCCTCACAAACATACTTTCTATCTCTCTCTCTCTCTCTTGTTGTACCCCACCAGGACATCACACAAGCGATAAATACCCGGTGACTCAAAGTGCCCCCATGGTGATGAGGATCAACCGCGGAGAGGTAACAGAAACCCCTTTCAGCCATTAGGCCATATATATATGGCCCAGCTATATTTAGGGCCCTCTGCAAAAGCCAGGGTGGGGCTTCAGAAAATGAAAAATTGCATCCCACATGGGGACGCCTAGATATATTTAATCTAACAAACATACTTTGCTACTTACTTTTCATATAACACAAATGGTCACTGATCTGATTTTACCATAAACAATGTATGCTTGATAATAAATACAAATATATCGTGAAAAAGAACCGTAACTCTCACCTTTCCTGAGACTGACGCTGGATGTTCTAGCCAAGATAGCTGTTGTGGGAGTGCCTTTCCAGCTTCTGTGTGGGTACAGTAATACAACAGCTGAATTATTTTGATTCACTGACTTATTTTGATTCATGCAGTCTTTATTTTTTTTTCTTCTTCTTCCCGTTGTAAACTCCGGCAGAAAGTTCTGGTTGTTCATCTACTCCTGGACTCTAGTCCTGTTCCAAAAACTGAGTGTTGCACGCACAGTCGTTTCACAGGTCTGACTCATAAGCATGCAGACTGCTGGTTCCTTGCCTCTCAGGCAGATGTACTCCCACTTCAAAAGGAAGCTCCCAATCAGTCGACTCTTATGACATGCTTTTGGGCAGGCAGTGGGTCTATTCATGTTTTTCCCACAATGGGGCCCCAGGACCCACATCGACAAGCAGTGGGTCTATTCTTTTTTCCCCCACAATGGGACCCCGAAACCCACACAGGGAGCAGTCATTATTGAACTGGTTGGTTATGCTCCACCTGGTAGTAAACATGATACAAAACAAGCCAGATGTGGTCAAGGTCCTCTGGGAGTGACTGAACAGTGTGGAAGTGGAATTAGGTCATCATGGTTTGAAGAGAATGGGGCAGCAAGGTGATACAAGTACTCTACATTCACAAGACAGGCAAGAAGGACATACAATAAAACTGCTACTGGTACTATTAGAACTGGAATTCTGCGCTGGCTGCTGCAGATGGGGATGGAGCACTTATGGGAATGTCCTGCTGTAATGTGTTTTTAACTCATCTGTGATTACTGAGTGCTATTCTTCGTTACATTATATCTTAATGTAATCATGCATATGTGTTAACGCAATCACATCTACATATTCTAAGACCTTTTCGCCCGCCTTCTGGTCATATAGGTTAGGTTAGTTGCGTATCCTTTACAGGACATTGCAGAACCAACCCCAACAGCCCCTGGCTGTTGTGTGGTTTTTATAGGCAAATTTACGTCCAGTAATTTGCCACTGCTTTCTGGACGGTCAACTTTTTTGATACCACTGTCGAAACCAACGCAAGTCGCATGGCCCGCAGCTGGGATCAAACCCGGCATCCCGGCATTACGAAGCATTCGCATCGACTTAGCCACAGAGCCGACAGTCATATAGGGCTAGACCTATATTTTACAGACCAACTGGCACTTGGTGGGTGATGCAGTCAACATCAGGCTGACCACCTTTACTTCCCAAGGGCTTTACCTGGTACCCATTTAAGGCTGAGTCGACCTGGCAGCCAAAGTCATTTTTAAGGAAAAAAGTCCTGCTCTGTTTGGATTTGAACCCATGACCTTCAGATCTGCAGTTGAGCATCTGACCACTACATCACGGGGGCTCCCATACTATAATTACCATTTCTAGGTCTCTTCTGGTGACAACTGAAAAGATTTATGGAAACAGAGATAGGAAAAGGGCAGGAGAAGTCTCTCGACAACCTTTTGTCATGACATCAGCACAGACATTCTGCTGTCTCTGAGAGAGTTACAGGGTCCCAGTGCTGGTGATAATTATGATGGCGCCGCTGAGGATAATTATGATGGTGCTGATAATCCTGATGATGATAAAAATGAGTGTGCTGAAGATATTTCAGATTGTGTTGATGATGATAATTATGATTGTGCTGTTGATGATAATTATGATTGTGCTGATAATTATGAGGATGCTGATGATTATGGTGATGCTTTAGATAATTATGAATGTGCTAAAGATAATTATTATTGTGCTGATGATGACAATTAGATGATGATAATTTTGATGCTGCTGATGACAATTATGATGATGATAACAATTATGATGCTGTTGCTAATGATAATTATGATGATTATAAAATTATGATGATGTTAGTGATGATAATTATAATTTTGATAATGCTGATATAAACACATCTATATGTTGATGTACTGCCCACTCACTTGATTTGTCCATAAGCCGGAGATGACACTGAAGCTTCTCTCTCCCACACATCATCGGCATCATTGAATACTTCGTCATCATCGACAGAAATGTCACTGCCGTTCTACAAACAAACCACCATACATAATTATGTTACTGCCATTATGTGGGGACATATTTCCTACATGTATACACATTGAAATGTGTGTATGCATGACCAACAGCTCACAGAAGCCAGCTGCAGGCCTCGGAAATGAGATACCTGAGAAAGGTGGTCCAAGTGACAAGGGACAAAGTCCGCAATCAGACAATACGTCAAGATCTTGATACCCAGCCCTTACTAACCCGAGTGGATCAGTCACAGTTACGATGGTTTGGACATGTGTGCAGAATGGGAGAAAATCGGCCACCATGGCAAGCATGGGAGGCTAAGAACCAGGGAACCAGACCTCCGGGACGACCCAGGGTGCGCTGGGAAGACAACATCCGACAGTCCCTGACTGACAGAGGACTGGAATGGAACAAAGCCAGAAAGAAAACTGCTGATAGAGACGTCTGGCGATCTCTCTGGCAAACCTCTACACCCCAAGGTAGAAGAGGAGCGACTAAGTAAGTATGCATGACCATCATCTACACATCGTCTTCCCCCCCCCCCTCATTTGTGCCCTGGAACTGTAGGTGTTTCCACTGAAGCTGGAGTGCATCTGCCTGAGATATAAGGAACCAACAGTCTGCACTGAAGCAAGCCAGATATGTAAAAAGGATGTGCAAGCAAAACTCAAGTTCTAGAACAAGGTCAAAGTCTAGAGGAGGACAAACAACCAGAGTTTACAGTCTGTGAACACGAAGAAGAAGAAGAAGAAGAAGAAGAAGAAGAAGAAGAAGAAGAAGAAGAAGAAGAAGAAGAAGAAGAAGAAGAAGAAGAAGAAGAAGAAGAAGAAGAAGAAGAAGAAGAAGAAGGAAGAAGGAGGACGAGCAAAAAGAATAAGAAGTGCTTTAACTGCTCCTACCTACCACATCATGTATTGGTTGATCCATATATTGTATACATGCTTGGCGGATAGATAAGTAGTCTAATAATAGGAAAACAAAAGAATTAAGGAATACAATTGCTTCTGTCACCTGGTCCAAGTCCCTCATCTGTGTCAAGAAAGGATTATACAATAAAGACATAAGGATTATGCAATGAAGTGCTTCTGTCCCCTGGTACATGGCCCTCATTTGTGCCCAAAAATTTCAAGGAATAAAAAAAAAAAAGACTGAAATATACAGGTTTATGGAATAACAATGATTATGTTGCCTGGTACAAGTCCTAATTCGTGCAAAAAAAGATTATGGAATAAAAAAGACAAAAGGATTAAAGAGTAAAAAATGCTTCTGTCACCTGGGACAAGTGCCTCAACTGGTCCAAAACAGATTATAAATAAAACCACAAAAGGATTAAGGAATTAAAAAATGCTTCTGTCACCTGGTACAAGTCCCTCATCTGTGCCAACTTCTCCTCAAACCTGGCCACCGACCACAGAGTGTACATCCTGTGTTTGTTGTTGGTGACCCGGATCTGTGTGCTGAAGGTATCACCCCTCCTGCCTCCAGTACATCTTCTCGGCTAAATATCTGAGGATCATCAAGCAGGCACACCTTGCATAAACATGTCTTTCATTAGCGAAAAATGTAGGGGGGCTGCATGGTCTCGAGGCATGGTGTCCGCCTCGAGTGCTAGAGGTTCCAGGTTCACTCCCCGGCAAGGGCTAGGATTTTTTCACGTGGACTTGGACTTCTAGTAATTCCCCCTGGTTTCTGGGTAGTGAGATCGGACACCCGTGTGCATTGTTGCGCACGTAAAAAATCCTTTGGCAGTCAGAAATAAAAATTTTGAGTTACAAATCTACCCAAAGTATTTTAGGATCCTCGCTGGTGCTACATAGCCTGTGTACTGTGCTGTGCTTCTTCAGACTCAGACTGGAGTTAGAAGAAGAATGGAGCACTTATGGGTTACACCCGTGTGGCATGATGTTGATCCGTTCTTAAAAACCTCAAACCTAACGAGAAATATACATCATGTTGACAATGTTCTTTATCACGGAAATCTTCTTCTCACAGCACATTGCCTTCTAAACTGCCCAATATGAAAGAATGAATCAAGAACATATCACTGCACTCCGGACATTCCCACATGCACTCCATCCCCTTCTTCAGTAGCCAATAAAGTCAAACATGCTAATTGAACCAGTTGCAACCTGATGAAAAGGCCACCTCTATGTTTCCCCTCAGTGTCAAATATCTCCAGAACCTTTATTCACCCCCCATCTTTCAGTGTAATGGATTCCCTGTCTGTTCTACTGCACTGTCCATTTGATCCCAGAGACCTTTCACCACTTTTGCTTTATCGTAAAGTAGCTCACTGCCCAGAGGAGCAGCAACAGCTAATATTTCAGCCTGCTTATTACCTCTCACAAAAACAATAAAGTTTTCTAGCCTTAAAATATCTTTCTGAAAAAGGGGTAGACTTATATGGCAGGTATAAAATTTGTCAGTCACCATGGCCTAGCGGCTAGACGTTCACGTGCGGATCGGAAGGTCGTGAGTTTGCTTCCTGGAGGAGCCGGCCTTTTCCCAAAAATGACCTTGACTCCCAGGTCAACCCAGCCTTGAGTGGGTGCTGGGGTGCAATCTGGGGAAGTAAAGGCCACTGTCGTGATGCTGACCACATCACCCATCTTGTGCCGATTGGTCTATAAAAATATAGGTCTAGCCCTATATGCCTAAAGGCTCAGAAAATGGACTTTTACTTTTCTTTTTATTTTATAAAATTTGTTAGAGATAGGTGTAGGCCAGACTCAGAATTTTGAGATAAAAACATCTTCAGGTTGACTTGTCGGCCAGAATTTACAATATGAACTGGTAATTACATCTGATACAGAGTTCTTACTCGCCAAAGTGTCAAACTAAATTTTTTTCTTTAGGTTTTTTCAGTGGCGATTCATGATTAGTTTGCATCTTTAAGCAGTTTAGAGAAAATTCAGAGTTAGCAGGTAGCGATTACACTGGGGAGGGTATCATGCAATGTGATCCTTCCCATCTCTTAACTGCTGAGAATATACGTGCACAGCTGGCATTGTAGTATTAGTAGTTGGTGGCTCTCACATGATAGTTTCTGCATGAGTGGCATAATCATGCAGCGAGCTTTACAGGCTAGATGAGACACAAATTTAGTGGCGTACTGGAATGATAAATAGTAAAATAATGCATGTTTTCTTTTGCAATGGAACATGTAAGCGGTGATTGCACATTTCTTCATGAACAAGCCATACAAATAAAGACAGACCCAAAAATTCCAAGGAAGGGAACTAGGGAGTGATATTAAAAAGATGGGGAGGACATGGGGTGTCGCATGTGACAGCAACAACAACAACAAAATAGAATGACCCGATTTGAGTTGGCTGAGCGCCTATGCTCCAGTGGGAATAAAGGGCAAAAGAATAAAAATCACAGTAGACTGTTCATGATTCACATTAGTATATCAGGACCGTATCTATATAAATCACATTAGTATATCAGGACTGTATCTATATAAATCACATTAGTATATCAGGACCGTATCTATATAAATCACATTAGTATATCAGGACTGTATCTATATAAATCACATTAGTATATCAGGACTGTATCTATATAATTCACATTAGTATATCAGGACTGTATCTATATAAATCACATTAGTATATCAGGACTGTATCTATATAAATCACATTAGTATATCAGGACTGTATATAATTCACATTAGTATATCAGGACTGTATCTATATAATTCACATTAGTATATCAGGACTGTATCTATATAATTAACATTAGTATATCAGGACTGTATCTATATAATTAACATTAGTATATCAGGACTGTATCTATATAAATCACATTAGTATATCAGGACTGTATCTATATAAATCACATTAGTATATCAGGACTGTCTCTATATAAATCACATTAGTATATCAGGACTGTATCTATATAAATCACATTAGTATATCAGGACTGTATCTATATAAATCACATTAGTATATCAGGACTGTATCTATATAATTCACATTAGTATATCAGGACTGTATCTATATAAATCACATTAGTATATCAGGACAGTATCTATATAAATCACATTAGTATATCAGGACTGTATATAATTCACATTAGTATATCAGGACTGTATCTATATAATTCACATTAGTATATCAGGACTGTATCTATATAATTAACATTAGTATATCAGGACTGTATCTATATAATTAACATTAGTATATCAGGACAGTATCTATATAATTCACATTAGTATATCAGGACTGTATCTATATAATTCACATTAGTATATTAGGACTGTATCTATATAATTCACATTAGTATATCAGGACTTTATCTTGTTGGCCTCCCTCAACAAGAGAGCGATCTTGTACAAGTCTCGACGTGACCCTGGACTCATGGAATACACTGAAGCAACTTCACTGGTGCTGGCAGCCTTTGCTGGGGTCAGGAGGTCGAGCCTCTTCTTGCGAAGCTTGTCCAACCTTTCTGCTGTGTTTTTGGTTTCCACTTCCAGAAGCTGCACAATTTTAGACTTGATGGCGATGGCCTCGTCTAGAATCTGTTGTAAATACAGACAGTGCTTATCAATGAGTGCTTGGCTATTTCTAAAAGATATTTATCATAAATAATCCACTACACGCGTTATGTCTATAATGTACAAGGGAAAGTCAATAAAAGTCACAAATTTTTTTTTTTTTATTTAAAGATAACTTGAAAACCATTTTTTTAAACACATTTGCTGTCCCTTTATTTTCAACATAATTTTCACCAACACTGATGCACCTGTGCCATATTTTACCAGTCCTTAAATCTGCTACATAGAACTGCGTGCTCTGTTTTTTTTTTTTTTTTTTTTTTGGGCGAAATATCTCCCACCAAGGTGGGTTTTCAGTGGATCAAAAAAGGTGAAAATTGCTAGGGGCTAAGTCGGGGCTGTAAGGCGGATGTTGCAGAAGTTCCCACCCTAGATGATTAATTTTCTCCTGAGTTAACCGAGCCGTATGTGGTCTGACATTGTCATGAAGGAGCAGCACTCCTCTAGTCAGCAGGACTAAGTGTTTTTTCTTTCTTTCTAATTGCATCAAGAAGCATCGATAGAATTTTACGGGATAAACATTTATCAGCATAAACAGAAAGTATTTCATTATGAATGTACTTTGCAGACAGCCTTTTTGCCCTCCCCTCTAACCATACACAAAAACACACAACAGCATGTTATACTTTGAGGGTACACTCTGTAAGTACAGTCGCTATTTTCTTTTTGTGTTGCAAATGCGCATGCAACACCTAGTGCCACCTAACCAACAGAGACATAAAGTCTGATGTTGCTGTCACCTAATGACACCTTTAGAAACCACCAAATATATTTTCCTGCCATCTCATAACCATTTTTGATCAAATATTGACTTCCCCTCGTTTGTAATAGAAATTATTATACGCTGGGTAGACTGCCTCAAAATATGAACACACAAATAACAAGCAGGGCAAAGAGAACCATAAGTTTTACAAGAAAACAAAAAACAATATCAGGAAAAATACATCCACAAAAATATAAAAACTGACATAATGTGTGAAGCTCTCACACCAGTACCACGGACTCACTTTTCTAGATTTATCCAGTATAGTTCTAAAAATCTCAGAATTCTTCAAAACAAAACAAACTGAATCAGAGCAAACGTCTCTTACATTATATACTCAGGAATCAGTATTCCTCCATTACTTTGACACGTGTTCACATTGCAAGCCTTTATGGGCAACACGCAGACATACAATAGCAACAAGAAAAGCTTGCACAAACTTCTGCTTTCACCTGTGCAGACTCTCAGGAAAGTGTCAGGGGGAGTTGTAACATTTGTTAATGAGCTCTGTCAAGAGCACTATTAGGACTGATGTTCATTTCTGTAAGGTTGTTCTTAATGCCTTCACTCCATATTTTTCAAGGTCTTCCACTCGATCTATACCCGTTGTAACGTTTTAGTGTAGGTCGCTGTAGCAGATAGTACCAGGGCATTCTTGTTAGGTGTCCAAACCACTTCATTTGTTGTTCTTTGATGACCTGTAAGACTGTCTTTACTCCAAGCATTCATCTGATTTCGTATTCTTTATTTCCTTAAAACTCCTGCAGCTCTTCTAAGGCATTTCATCTATGCTGTCACAATAGCCTTGTTTAACTAAATAAAATGCTATCATACTAGCCACAGATTTAAAACCATCCTTCTAAACTATATTATGCTCCAAACAGAACCGCATCATGAATGAAATTTTTTTTTAAAGTTGACCACAAGAACATAACTTGTCCAGCAGTGGATTCCAGCTCACTATAGTACCTCTAGAGATTGTAAGACAGGTGAGTCACAAATGATACAAGAACCTCATACAGCCCCATCTGTCTTAAAGCTTTTAAACACTGAAGGCTCCCTTAGAACAAACTGGGAAGCTAACTGAAAAGAAAACCACAAAAATTAGACCACAGCATGTTAAGAAGTAAGAAGAAAGACGACACAAATGAAACTGCCATTGCATTTTTTTTTTGGCGTCCAATTTTGAAAAGCATATTTCAAAGCTAGGTAACCTTGAGAACTCGGTTATAACCAGCAAGATTGGTAAAAAGAGGGCAGGGGGAAAGCAAAGAGATAAATGTGGATGGCTTGACCACACACATGCTGAGGGACAAGAGCACGGATCTGATCTGTGATTATGTAGATAGTATAGGATGGTGAATCATGACGTCACCTCTATGCTTATCAACATGGTACCTTATAATTGTGAATTGTGCGGTGGGCTGAAGATAACAAAGGGGCCGAGAGAAGAAAATTAAGAAGAAGAAAGAGAAGCATCTGTCAACCACGACATGGACACACACAAAAAGAAGCAGAAACAGTAAGATAGAGGGGGATAACAACAATAAAGTGGAAAGAAAAAATATCTATTAAAGAAATAAATAAGAAAGCAAAAACACAAGAAGAGGAGACTGGTATCTGTGGACAAGCAAGACCAATCAAAGTTAAAGTGAAGAGGATTGACTTCATTGCATTGGGTTTAATCCTATATGACCCAGTGTTTGTCCACAGAGTGACTCACCACTTGCAGAGAGCCTCGCAGAATACACAAACTCCACTCCACAGCTGGGGCAATGTTCTTCAGGGATCCCCACACGAAATAAGCTGAGAAGTGAAACCAATGACTTTACAGTGCAAAGCAAGCATCGTGACAACTTCGCCAAGGCGACACTCTGCTCAGTGACGATCAACAGCATGGGTGATGTAACGAGACAGTGAAATATCTCAGTATTGCACAGTAAATGGCAAAAGGAACATCTTTGTGCAAACAAGAATTTAAAAAAATGGAAAAACAAAGAGTTATTAAAGAAATACCTTCTTTGAAACAACCGAATCCATCCTTTGTCGTGTTCTACCAGCAAGTACTTCCTGTTCCAACATCTACTCAAAAAGAAAGAAAAAAAGAATAATGAGCTGACTGTTAAATTTATCTTAACAAAGCAGCTGCATGTAGCCCCAGATTCAAACAAGTACTGTTTAACAAAGAAGCCTACAGACTTTCTTAAAGCTGCCTGGAGTCCCAGCTTCAAACAAGTACTGTTTATCTCAACAAAAAAGCCTACAGACCTTCTTCCAGCTGCCTGGAGTCCCAGCTTCAAACAAGTACTGTTTATCTCAACAAAGAAGTCCACAGACCTTTTTCCAGTTGCATGGAGTCCCAAATTCAAACAAGTAGTGTTTATCTCAACAAAGAAGTCCACAGACCTTTTTCCAGTTGCATGGAGTCCCAAATTCAAACAAGTACTGTTTATCTCAACAAAGAAGCCTACAGACCTTCTTAAAGCTGCCTGGAGTCCCAGCTTCAAACGAGTACTGTTTATCTCAACAAAGAAGTCCACAGACCTTTTTCCAGTTGCATGGAGTCCCAGCTTCAAACGAGTACTGTTTATCTCAACAAAGAAGCCTACAGACCTTCTTAAAGCTGCCTGGAGTCCCAGCTTCAAACAAGTACTGTTAAACCAAATTAATTTCAAAGACGTTTGTTTCTATGGTGTATGAGGTGGGTGATAGTTAAGAGAGGTGGTCATTAATCTCATAACGCCATGTCTGTTGCATGTAAAGTCTTATGGGACTGTAAGCCCCACATCATGGACCCTAAACTTTTTGAGCATAGGCCAAGATGAATGCAGTTTTTTTTAAATTTGTTTTTTACTTCTTTAACTTCGTCCAGCAGCAACAATCCTAATTTAACCCTCTCATCTATATATATAAAAATCAATGTTTGTGTGTTTGTTTATGAGCTATGGACTCGGAAACTACTGAACCGATTTAGCTGAAACTTTCAGGATATGTTTGTTTTGATACCGGATGTTTACCCATCATGGTTTGAAATTCTACCTGTCAATGTTAGAGATAGGTGACCACATTTGTTGGAAAAATCTTTGAAACTAATATATCCATTTTTAGTGACATTTAATTATAGCCACGTTAGTAAATGCGCAGTAGACACCGGACTCTCTATTTTTAACATCCACCCGTACAGCAAACCAGACTATCTGTATATTGCTAATTGCGATGTTAACCATATTAGACACGATTTCTATTTTTTTTTCTTTTCAAACAACCTTCGATGAGTTAGAGAGTAGTCGGTGGATTTAAGAAAGGGGAAGAGAGGGGGGGAGGATCTATGTCTGCACAGACAAGTGGTGGTTGGCTGGCCAAATGGTTAGTACACTGGGTTTCCGTACGGGAGACTAGGGTTCAAATCCCCAATACGGCCGTTTCATTTTTTTTTTTTTTTTACCTGGGGGCAAAATAAAACCCAGACCTGCTCTATCGTGGCGACAGCACTAGCCATGTGGAAATAAATAATGTATAAAAAAAATACAGGTATGTGGGTAAACCAGTTGATAATTAAATTTGACCATTTCGCATGCTTATGATTTCATTTTAAACTTTCCGATTGCATGGTTACGCTGAATTTTCATAGATTTCCAGTTATTTTTATTTTGATTTAATTATTTCTTCTGACATTGCGTTGGAATTAGGCTGTGTTGTTTATCATAGCGTTCATTTCGTAATTATGGTGTATTTTTCCTGTTTTCGTTGCATTTCACTTGGTTTTTTTCTCCCTACTTCGATTAAGGAAAGAGTATTGAGGTGAATTGGGGGGGGGGGGGGGGGGGGGAAGCATAAACTGGTAACTGAATTAGCTTTAAGTCAAAGTAACTGCCTTGCCTACTCAAAGTAGCAGTAGTAGTAGTTGTGATTGGGCGGTTACACCATAGTGCTGTTGTCATGCCGGAGACCGCCGGTAATGTGATGGCATTTTTCTGTCGGGGAGCGAAATTACACATCCTAACCTGACCAGTCTGTGCTGACAGCATTAGCCTTGCGGCGCCAAATCCTCTGGCTCACGACTCTCTGCCTACTCTGACGGTAAAACAGATAGCAGTGACATTATTTTAGTTATTGTGTTGGTAGTAGTTGTACTGGTACTTGAAGGATAGTGTGGTAAATATTACACTAGCCGCATTTACTACTCATTACAATTCCTGCTCCCTATTTTAGTCCAGATGGACAGGGGTATCAACGTCAGTTACAAAAAATATCGTCAGCTGATGACTTTCAAATCCTTTGATGAGGCAGAGAGCAGTAGTCGGTGTACAGGGGAGGGGAGGGGGTGATGACAGAAATTGTTCACTTAAAGAGCTTAACGCATGATTTTAAAGTTTTCATTTCTTAATTTGTTTATATTTTACTAACGCTACCTCCGCTATTCTCATTTTTTTAACGACTTACTTGGTTATTTACAAGTACAGTAGTAAGCTTTACTTCCGTCTCTTAAAAAAATACAAACAGCTTTAGCATCTGATAACCAAATAACCATTTTTTTAAACTGTGCTAATAATACCATTTAAACGACCACTAATATAAAGACGCAATTATATGTTGCGTGTTCTAAAGTGGCAAACCAGACTATCTCTATATCTGTGCAGAGTATGATTGCGACATTAATATATAAGACACGAGCGATTTCTATTGTCTTTCTTTTCCAAAAGCCTTTGATGAGGGAGCGAGTAGTAGGTGGATTTGGGAAGGGGGGCGCATCGATGGACTATCTCTGTATGTGCGCAGTCAATGATTGCGACAGTACACATATTAGACACGTGTGATTTCTATTTTCTTTCTTTTCCATTTAGCCAAACTATGCCACAGCAACAGGTGGCCGGGTACAGCTAGTCTCAAATAAAAAATAAAATGGTCCATTGCTCTGTTCAAATTCTGTTTAAAAAAAAAAAAAGCTAAACAAATTTATTTATCAACATTTTGTCTTTTTTAAATTATTATTTTAAAATAAATTTAACACATAAAGATATATAGAGTGAGTAATTAATTAATCAACAAGAATAAAGTGAAGCATTGAACAGAATGCTGTCATCTGTGGCTTAGGCACTGCGAACGTGCTTTGTAATGCAGAAGAGCCGGGTTCGATCCCAGCTGCAGCATTGCCCTGGTTTTGACAGTGGAGAAGCCAACCATCCAGAAAGCAATGGCAAACTACTGAAAGTAAATTTGCCTAGAAAAACCACAACAGCCAAAAAATAATGCTGGAGTTGTTTCTGCAACGTCCTGTAACTTACTTTTTTTTTTTTTTTTTTTAATTTAACAGAATACATTCCGCAGGGCCTACAAAAACGTGTATTCCGCGACCCATGCAGTGACCCCCATGAAATTTTGAAGCCAACTTGGCTTAACAAAAGCCATGTGCTTCAAAAGAAACACCACCTATATGCTTATATAATTTTAGTTAATCTAATCGTATCTAGATTTCCTAAACATTAGCACAGGCTAATAGCGTTAATTATGCATCTCCTAAACAAGTCACTACAAGCTAGTTGGAAAAGTGACATTTCGTGGAAATTGGGCTCAACCAAAAATGTCGATTCTGCAGCATCTTGGGGCAAAAAGATTATTAAGGCAAATTCTTTTCATAGATATTCTAACATATTTCATTGATATCCTTCACCCTTGACTTGACATTGGTGGGCTGATAGTGATAGAGGCATTGTCATTTAATTGTTTTTCTAGCATCCCTTATCTTTTTTTTTTTACTTTGCCTGTGCAAGCTTCAAAATTTTGCTGGGACTGACAAGTTTTTTTAAAAGTAGTTTTCAAATGGGACAGTGAAAAGCTTGTTTGTGTGGTTTCCCTTGGCACAGGCAGGGAACAGTTATGGGGCGACCTGTATACTGTATTGTTGGGACCTCAACCTTGACTCATTAACCAGAGTCAAGAGATGATGATTACAGACTCAACATAACTATAACAAGATATATTAGTGTGAAATACACGTACCACATGTTCCGCTAGTATTGAACAAACTTTGTTTCACCAGAAATCTGACTGTACGTACCATATTTTGTTTCTTCAGGCTGGTGATTGTAGTCTGTGCTTCTCTATGTGTCCCCTCTACTTGATTCTGAGTGAGTCAAAAATATAAGAATAAAATCATGTTAAACAATCAACAGGAGGGTACCCTCAATTTGAGTCAAGGCAAAAACTGAAGGATAAAACAATATGACAGCTTTATAACAGTTACAAGTGTTAGTTAGTCAAGGGAATAACTGAAGGATAAAACGATATGACAACTTTATAGCAGTTACAAGTGTTAGTCAATGCAATAACTGAAGAATAAAACAATATGACAGCTTTATAGCAGTTACAAATGTTAGTCAAGACAATAACTGAAGGATAAAACAATATGAGAGCTTTATAGCAGTTACAAGTGTTAGTCAATGCAATAACTGAAGGATAAAACAATATGACAGCTTTAAAACAGTTACTAGTGTTAGTTAGTCAAGGCAATAACTGAAGGATGAAACAGTATGACAGCTTTATAACAGTTACAAGTGTTAGTCAAGGCAATAACTGAAGGATGAAACAGTATGACAGCTTTATAACAGTTACAAGTGTTAGTCAAGGCAATAACTGTAGGATAAAACAGTATGACAGCTTTATAACAGTTACAAGTAAGGCAATCATTGAAAGAAAACAATAAGACAGCTTCACAAAGTTACAAATGTTAGTCAAGGCAATCATTGAAAGATTAAAAAAAAATATGACAGCTTCCTAAACATTTACAATTGTTAGTCAAGGCAATAACTGAAGGATAAAATAAAACAATATAGCTTCATAAAAAGATACAAGTGTGAGTTAGTCATAGCAATAGTTAAAGGATAAAATAAAACTATGACAGCTTTATAACAGTTATGACAATTTTCGAAAATTGTCGTCATGGCAACAAATTCTCAAAGCGGTCAGGGAGGTCATTTTTATCATCTTTCTGTTGCTGCGCTGATTTTCTTGATCTGATTTTCTTTGTCAAGATAATATTGAACAATCTGATGATTATGGTTTCAATAAATCTATTGAAGTGCCAGGAAAAACATCATCGACAGTGAAACATCTGCGGGTTTCTTCAAAGTTAAGACTAAGACTAAGTCTAAGACTAAGACTGAGACTAAGACTTGACCGGCAGTTACACTTTCGGTAGCAAACACTAGCACAGCAGTTTCTTGTACCGATAGTTCTAGTGAAAATTTTCATTCAGATCCTGTAGATTTTGAAAATATTGTGTCTATGCCTGCTCATGACGAAGTTATCACTGCCGCTTTAGATGCAGAATCACCATCATCATCTGACGAGTCTGAGGAAGATTTGCCATACCTCTAAATGGTTAATGACTGGCATTGTGATTTGCAAAGCTTTCCTGAAGTAACCCATTTACAGAAGAAAGTACAGTGTGTGTAGAAAGAGATAAATCTATGGCTTAGGCATTGCGAACACGCTTGTTAATGCCGGGGTGCCAGGTTCGATCCCTGCCGGGGACAATTTTTGACCTTTTTTGAAAGCAATGGCAAACTACTGAACGTAAAATTTGCCTAGAAAAACCATAACAGCCGATAAATGCTGAATTTGGTTCTGCAACGTCCTGTAAAGGATACGCAACTAACTTATGAACTGTACCGTACTACTGACACATCTTTGCTGTAAAATGTGATAAGTGAGTGGTAAATATTTCTTTCTGTTTTTCTTTTTTAATTGCAATGATACTGGATTGCACATCATTTTATATGTTGATAAAACAATACAATTTCATGTTTTATATGTCATGAAATTCAGTCAGTATTGCTGACAGACAGATTTTTCAGATGCTTTATTTTTCACTATAGCTTCAGTCAGATGATGACGATGTCAATCAAAAAAATAATTCATTTCTGTTTCTTGCAATGTATTCTCCATTTAACTTGGTGGAAAAATACAAAATATAATAACTGTGTATTTAATGGTTGTGAAGTTTATGGCATTTTTATTAGTCTGTATTGTTGTCACATATAAGATTTTTCGGTAGATTTTTCGCAATATCCACAGCACATGGTGATAATGTCACACCCAAAAACAAAAACAAAAGATGTCTATTTCTTGCAATGTATTCTCCATTTAATTTGGTGCCCAAAAAAAAAAAAATTTGATAAATGCATGTTGAATGTTGGTGAAGTTATGGAATTTTTTTGTTAGTCTATTTGTCGTCAGATAAAAGGTTTTTCAGCTGCTTTTTTTTCCCACCAATCTACATGCAAATGATGATGATGTGAAACAAAATAAACACAATTTGTTTTCTTGAAATGTGTTCTCCGTTAAATTTGGAGCACAAAAAAAATAAGATAAGTGTATGTTGAATGTTTGTGAAGCTATGAAATTTTTTGTTAGTCTATATTGTTGTCAGATAACAGATTTTCCAGTTGCCTTTTTTTTTTTGCACCAATCTACATGCATCATCAAACTGTTCTGCCGGGTCTTCTTTTTTCGTCTTTAGCCCTGTTCTGTCTTTCAGCACTAGGTTTTAGAGAGACATCTGGTTCCAGCCCTGGTATGTTCTACACAAATGCTGTTATTTATGGCCTCTTCTATTCCATCCATCCATCTATCTGTCCGTCCGTCTATCTATCTATCTATCTATCTATCGCTTTTGAAGTCGACCCCTAGTTTTGCTTCCATTGTGTCTGCTGACAGGGCTCTCTCTGGTGCTGGGTTAACCGGGGGGGGGGGGGGGGGGGGGGGGGGGGGGGGGGAGTTTTGAAGTAGACCCCTGTTTGCTTCCATTGGTTGCTGACAAGGGCTCTCTATGGTGCTGGGGGGGGGGGGGGGGGGGGGGGGGGGGGGGGACTCACTCAACATACTCTCAACTCACCAGGATATTCTCCAAGTCCTTGAGCTTGTTCTCATAGCCATCTTTCTGCTGTGACAGTTCCTTGCGTGTCTTCTCCAGCTCTTCTTCAAGTTCAGCCTGCAGCCTGAGGAAATCATGGAAAACAAAATATGAAACCACAAGACATCATTAATACAGTAGTACAGCACACACACACACACATTTATACAAACTGTGCCATCTCCACAAGGGAGGTTGGCTGCAATTTATCCACTAACTAGGCCCCAGTCTCATATCACTGTCTAAAATCAACGAGAACAGCCATTTTTTTTAAAACAGGAAATGAATCCTGGTAAATGCTGAGCATTGCAATGCAAAACAGTCTAAACTCTAGGCCAGGGCTTTTAAACTGGTGACCAGCATGCCAAATCGTGACCAGCATGCCAAATCGTGACTTGCGTGCCAAATCGTGACTTGCGTGCCAAATCGTGACTTGCGTGCCAAATCGTGACCTGCGTCGTATTAATGATTTTTCTATGCTGGAGCTCGGGCCTGTGAAGATGACCATATCAAAGATTATAGCACCTGTTGTCTTTAAACCCATCCTGTCTGTTTAAGCATGCTAATGGAATCAGTATGTATGACAGTCTGAATGCAAGGGTGGTATAGACAGCTACCCTATGGCAGGTGTGTTTCCTGAAGTAATCGACAGACCAGACATGGTGTAAGTAAAGGACCCTTTTCCACACTTTCAGGCATATTCGGCATACAGGGCTAGACCTATATTTTATAGACCTATCAGCACTTGGTGGGTGATGTGATCAACATCATGTCGGCCGCCTTTACTTCCCAGGACCGTACCTGGTACTTATTTAGGACCTGGGAGCCAAGGTCATTTTTGAAAATCACTGTGTGGGTTTCGGGGCCCCATTGTGGGGGAAAATTGGAATAGACGCACTGCCTCCAAAATGAACATATCATAAAAGTCGACAAATTGGGAGCTTCCTTCAAAGTCAGAGTGCATCTGCCTGAGTAGCAAGGAATAACCAAGTACCAAATACACACAAATAAGCTAGTAAAACAAATGTGCAAAAAGGCTAAAGTCGAAATGCACAACCAACCAAGACTTTCTGCTGGAGTTTACAGCTGGTAAACAAAACAAAACCAAAAAACAAAAAAAATATTTCTGAAAAAAATTTGAGGCATGGTGTGTTAATCTAAAATCATGAAAAATGTGTTTTAAGTCTTGTGTGTTGTCACTCATCTTGTCTGAGTCTTTAAAGCACAGCTTGTACCTATCAGAGTCTGGCTGCTGTAGTAAACTTTCCTCTTCTCCCGCTATCAAAGTTTCATCTCCACCTAGACTTCTTTGCTGAGCTTCCTTTCCCCTCTCCAAGCGTAAAACTTGGTGAGAGGTATAAAACCAGTACCGGAATTCCCATCTGCAGGGAGGCATGACGATCCTTGGCATGTTAAGTCAGATTCTGGATTCAGTCTGCAGATATGGTGCATAACACAGAGGTGTTCCAAAGTCTTGACTGATGTCATGTGATTTCAGCAGCCTTTAGTAGAGATAAAGGGAGATCAATGTCTTCTTCTTCTTCACCATTTATCCAAGTGATGTTTGTGCCTTTCGGCGGACACATCTAACTTAAACTGGCATGTTTTCTAGATTATTACATACTTCCGAGTATACGACCATAGGTTCCCAGGTTTTTACAGTTTAAAATTGTGAGTCTATTTATACAGGGAATGTGACACAAATCTGGGTTTAAAAAATAGGGGTCCTCAAATACACGGGGGCATCTTATACATGGAAAATATGCTCACCTTTACGGAGATGTCACTGTGGGTAATGAGATATTTTAAAAGAGTATGACAAAATCATTTGGAGTAAGGGGGTAAAAGAGAACTCTGTGGGTGTGTGTGTGTGTGTGTGTGTGTGTGTCTGTGTGTGTTTGGGGGGGGGGGGGGGGAGTGTGTAAGAGGAAACACTCAAACGTAACGAAATATATTTACCTTGCTTCTTGCACCCTGTGTAGTTCTTGCTTGGCAAAATCAAAATCTTTAATTTCTGAGCTTCCTCGCGCGTCATTTTTGTTCTGGACTTCAACAGGATGGCTGAATCTAGAGAATGAAGATAAGCCTATTAACGCTGATAGCAAAAAGGACTGCAACACCCATCAACACTGGCAGTAAATAGTACAGCAACAACAACAAACAACCCATCAACAATGACAGTAAACAGTGCAGCAACAACCAATCAACACTGCCAGTAAACAGTACAGCAACAACCCATCAACACTGACAGTAAACAGTACAGCAACAACCCATCAACACTGACAGTAAACAGTACAGCAACAACACATCCACACTGCCAGTAAATAGTACAACAACACATCAACACTGACAGTAAACAGTACAGCAACAACAACAAACGACCATCAACACTGACAGTAAATAGTACAGCAACACATCAACACTGACAGTAAACAGTACAGCAACAACCCATCAACACTGCCAGTAAATAGTACAGCAACAACAACAAACAACCCATCAACAATGACAGTAAACAGTGCAGCAACAACCAATCAACACTGCCAGTAAACAGTACAGCAACAACCCATCAACACTGACAGTAAACAGTACAGCAACAACCCATCAACACTGAGGGTAAACAGTACAGCAACAACACATCAACACTGACAGTAAACAGTACAGCAACAACCCATCAACACTGCCAGTAAATAGTACAGCAACAACCCATCAACACTGCCAGTAAATAGTACAACAAACAACCCATCAACACCGACAGTAAATAGTAAGCAACACATCAACACTGACAGTAAACAGTACAGCAACAACCCATCAACACTGCCAGTAAATAGTACAGCAACAACAACAAACAACCCATCAACACTGACAGTAAACGGTACAGCAACAACCCATCAACACTGACAGTAAACAGTACAGCAACAACCCATCAACACTGAGAGTAAACAGTACAGCAACAACACATCAACACTGCCAGTAAATAGTACAACAACACATCAACACTGACAGTAAACAGTACAGCAACAACCAATCAACACTGCCAGTAAATAGTACAACAAACAACCCATCAACACTGACAGTAAATAGTACAGCAACACATCAACACTGACAGTAAACAGTACAGCAACAACCCATCAACACTGCCAGTAAATAGTACAGCAACAACAACAAACAACCCATCAACACTGACAGTAAACGGTACAGCAACAACCCATCAACACTGACAGTAAACAGTACAGCAACAACACATCAACACTGCCAGTAAATAGTACAACAACACATCAACACTGACAGTTAACAGTACAGCAACAATACATCAACACCGACAGTAAACAGTACAGCAACAACCCATCAACAGTGACAGTAAACAGTACAGCAACAACAACAAACAACCCCTCAACACTGACAAAAAGCAATACAGCAAGAATACATCAATACTGACAGTAAAAGTGCAGCAACAACCCATCAACACTTGACAGTAAACAATACAGCAACAACAACAACAAACAACCCATTTTGCACTGACAGTAAAAGTGCTGCAACAACCCATCAATATTGATAGTAAACAGAACAGCAAAAACAACAAACAACCCATCAACACTGACAGTTAACAGTTAAGCAGCAGCAACACATCACCACTGACAGTAAAAGTGCTGCAACAACCCATCAACACTGGCAGTAAACAGTGAAGCAACAACAACAAACAACCCATCAACACTGACAGTAAAAAAGCTGCAACAACCCATCAACACTGACAGTAAACAGTGCTGACACAATCCATAAACAGTGATAGTAAAGAGTGCTACAACAGCCCATCAACACCACAGTTAACAAGTGCAGCAACAACAATACATACACACAAGTAAGCTTACCTAAAGTAATGGTCCCCTCCAAGTATCACTCTGTCCCCCTACAGAAGAAGCAAGAAATAACACCAAGGTCAGCCATTTCAACTGTGCTGCAACATTACTAGCTATTTTATTGTGTTTGTGTGCATGTGTATACTGACACAAACCATTGCTGATCTGATAAAATGACACAGAGTTTGAACACATAAAGCATGGAATTGCAATGGCAATGTCACTAATACACATTTCTGACGAGACAGTGGTTCAGTTCAATACCCAGTAGAAGTCAAATTTGTTTTCTCTGACTAGTATGGCTCTTAACTCTTTGAGTCCCAGCATCAGAGAGACCCAAGGGGTAGTCAAGAGAGAGACGTAAAATTGGTGCATCATGTGTTCATTGGGCTTCTAGGTAGGAACCTATGAAGGTATGTCGCATTTATGGGACTCAAAAGATTTAAGCTGAACCTCATAAAATGAGGTATTAGGTAATTTTCTGAAATTTTTCAAACTGTTTGGGGAGGAAAGGTAAAGTGTCAAGAGCGACTTTCTGAAAAACTTACTAGATGATGATGATGATCAGACTTGGTGTTCTTACACTAGTTGGAGGAAAAATGTGAATACACATGACAGAGAGAATATACACAAACAGTTGGATGAGGTCAAGAGGGGTGAAAACAAATAAGAGAAATGTCTGGGCAACCATTTTTAACAGTTTTAAGACAATGACAATGACGCAGCCCTGGACTCACCCTAAGAAGAGATGAACAGAGAATCATCAAGCAGGCACTAGGGAAATAAAGTGATTGAGGAAGCGATGACACCAAATAAAAAAACCAAAATGATGACAGAGGTCAAAGGTGCTGGACAAGATTCCATCCTTGATATCAAAGTAATTGCACGGGACAGAACAGATGAAGGAATAGAAGATTGCCAGCCCTATGTGACATATAATAGTAAAACAGGATCTTCATCTTCGATCCTTCTGTCAGAAAACCTATATCAGGCGGTCGGTAGTCTTAATGAAAGCTATTGTGCAGTCCATATACTGTCGTGTACCATACAGCTTTGCCTTCATTGTGGTTGGTAACAGGATGATGATGACGATAATTCATTTGTCAAGGAAATATGAAACATATGAGATGAAAACATACGTGATGGATGGTTGTTGTCTGGGTAATCAAGTCACCATTGATGTACGTTGGAGCATCACTGATCGGTGTTATCTTCACCACGCCATTCTTGTTGTGGATGACACTGTGGAGTATAAGGCAATCATCCATATTTATTTCCTTTTACCTCTGTCTTTATATCTATACTTCTGCACCTACTAGTACTGAAGAACAGAAACACTGGACCTATAGCCAAAATGGCCGATAGCTGGCTCACCGCTAAATCACTTAAAACTCATTTCTTTACCGCTAGGTTTTGCTAATGCAAATTTCTCATTTACGGACTGGCAAAGGTTCTGTTGCCCGGCTACTCTGCTGAGTGCATGATGTAACACTGTAAGCTGCGGATTTCATGTGAAATGTTTTTCTCTGAGGTCTAGTAGTCTTAGTTTCAGCTTCATAGCAAACAGGTCACCCCATCGTTGCTCTACTCCTGTGCCAACGAAAAACACAGAATGTGGAAAGATGGTCTCAGCATATCTAGCATACACACACATTAAAAGCATACGGTAGCCATCCGAAGTGCTAACACAAACAGTCCGACATTAGAAATGCAGTTCATCATCGATGGTAGCAGAAGTCACCAACAGATCAGCAGTTGCACAAGCAATCAATTTTAATCACATAAGTTTTCTCTGCAGTGCCAATGGCATGTTGTTGACCATTAAGAGTACCATAATCATCACTCCTGTGCAGATTGAACCAGTATCTGAGATCTGCCCTGTTCGTAAGCCATACAGAATGAGAGAAAATGTTACAGTGTTATGACAAATCCTTATTAGGTAGCATTCTAGTGGGGACAAAACTGATCATCCGATCCAACTGCTTGAAGGCCTATGCTTCACTGGGAAAAAGAAGCAGCAATAAAGAATTGAAAACTGTAGTGATGTGGATATTATTATATAGAGCATGTCAACTACAGCGAACCTTCAGTGTGGGGGATGGCACCCGACTGATGATGGATATTTTTAAGTGGCAGTCAATTGTTTTGACACTTCTCAAATCCAAATCTGACTAAGGGAAACAACTGTTGTTGTTTGTCCATCACAGGTGATGATGACCAGTCCTTGCATACACTGGTCACTGGCTTAGGTTTTGTGAGTGCACAGGTGGCTGATAAGGCCAATTCTAGCACAGACAGTTCTGGAGCAGTGTGGACAGAAAGGTGAGGCCACATCAACTTCATGGGCCTCGATGAAGAGAGGAGCACCAGGATGAGCGGTCACATCCCGTGAAATTCCAGGTTTTAGGATCAATACAGAAGTTTTTCAGTGAGGTCTTGAGGTTGTCCTTGAAACATTTTTTCTGTCCACCTTAAGAGCGTTTTCCTTTTTGAAGCTCACCATTATTTTTTTTTTTTAAATGGTCAGGCATGCAGACTATATGAACAGCCCAGCAAAGTTGTGATTGTTTTAGAATCAAGTCAATACTGGGCCGTCCAGGTCTGTCAAGGACCTCAGTGTCAGGGAACCTGTCTTGCCACAGCAACTTTCTGAGGTATACTGTGTGAAAATAATTCAGCTTCTTAGCCTGACGCTGGTAAACGGTCCATGTTTCACATGCACAGAGAAGTACAGGAAGTATGACAGCTTTGTATACTTTGACCTTTGTCTGCAGGCTGACGCCAGCTCTATTCCAGACTTTTGTATGAAGTCTACCAAATGCACTGCTGGCTTTGGATATACTTGTAATGATCTCTAGATCGATGATAACAAACAAAGTAAGTGACATACAATGTAGATCAGTGTTCTCCAAGCTGTTTACACCCACAGCCCACCGGTGTTGAAGAACACTGATGTGGATCAGTGTTTCCTAAACTTTTCTTGGTCGCTGTACCTATTTTCAATTAAAATTTCTCCACGACGCCCTAATCTAAGTAAAAGTATTACTATTCATGACTTGGTTAAATTAATTATGAAGCTTTTACAATATTTTGCAGCGCCCCTGTGAAGAGGTTGCGGCTTCCCGGGGCGCACAGTTTGAGAATCACTGATGTAGATAACAAACAATATGAGAAACCAACCAACCAATGACTATCAGCAATCAGAGCTCCGGTTAGCTTGATATCATGCTGGGACTCATCAATCTCCCGCCCCACCTTGGTCTCCCCTTCCTTGATGACATACAGCAACATTTCTGACAGCTGGGGGTCCTCGTTCAGGTTGACCAAACTGGGCAGCCGATGGTTGACTTTCAAAGTGATGCCAGATCGCTGAAACAAGATGTCAGTGTGTCTCAAAATGTGTTCATTAGTCCATTCATTCAACTTATATAATATTCAAAGATGTTATGCTGCATTATTATTTTTATGTTATTTTTAAAGCCAGACCCTGGCAGCTTTGAGGGGTCCTAATATAACCTTAGGGTTGAATGGTGTTTCTGGGAATTTCGCCTGAGGGATTCTCATCCGAGTGGTGGCACATTGTATCACCGGATGTTGATCGCTTGTTGTGCTATACTGATGGGGTTGAACATCATTCATTCAAGATAATATACTGTTCTTGCCATCCTCTACCATGGTTAGGTTAGTTGCGTATCCTTTACAGGACGTTGCAGAACCAACCCCAAAAGCCCCTGGCTCCTCTACTATGAGTTGGCGTTATATTAACCATTTGCATTAAAACTGTTACTTAAACCACTTCTGTCTAGTTGTCTCTAATCAGCTTCTTCAAATCCAAGTCTCTTTTGCTTTTAGCTCAACTTCTTGGATTAGCTGGAGTAGTTTTCTCAAAATGTTGGTGTTGTATAAAATTGCCCCTGTCATTTTCCAACAATCTGTTGTGTTGCAGGCTTCCCAAAATGTTGGTGTACACATCCTGAGCTCAGTTCATGACAATGAGAAAATGGAAAGTAAACAATAGAGAAGGAATTACCATACATATGCACAGAAGGAAGAAAAGGAAGAAAGAAAGAAAGAAAGAAAGAGAGGGGGGGGGGGGGGGGGGGGGGGGACAGAAGGGAGACAGACAGACAGACAGACAGACAGACAGACAGACAGACAGACAGACAGACAGACAGAGACAGAGAGAGAGACAGACAGACAGAGATTTACAATTGTAAACGAAAGGCAGGCACATTCAATTTTAGTGAAGAAAAACGAGATGAAGAAGAAAAAAAAGAAAACACTATAAGGTTAACATTTCTGTGCAGGATGTAAAAGTTAACACAAAAGAGAAAGGGATTTAACCCATGAGTGAAGGCCAGGAACTACCTCTAAAATCTGTAGCTCCTCGGCCTTCCTGGCCTCAGCTTGTCTCAGCCTCTCCTGCCAGGACTTGCTCAGTTCCTCCATCTCCGACCTGAGCCGAGCAATCTCGCACATACTGACAGCCAGTGCTTCCTCGTTCATCAGGCCTCCTTGTTCAGCTCGCAGATGTTCGATTTCTGCTCGCAGTTCTGATAAATAACACAAATTCACACCTGTGGCTACATCTAAAGCAATTCACATTTTTGACACACCATCAATTGCGGCTTATGCTAACATTTAAGGCATTAACCCTATCCCCTCTGGAACACACAAACACAAAAAAATTGGTCATGACCCTTTTATAATCCCAGGAACAAACTCTTTTAAAAAAAAAAAATTTGACACAGGTTACTAATAAATTTGTTTAACATTTGTTTATCTAAATTTGTTCATAAATTTTTTTATATACAAAGATATATGAAGGAAATAATCAATAAACATTAATAGTGTGAAACATTAAATGGAATACATTTCCCAGGACCTATAAATTCAAATGATTGGATAATTCATGCCATGAACTTCATCACTGAAAATCACAGGAAAATTTGACACCAACTTGGCTTTGAAAAAGCTATTTTGCTCAAAGGCAAACCTCCAAGCATACGACCTCAATCAACTCCAACAGGCTGTGACGTATTTTGCCACCTGCAGCTCACTCCATGCCCTATTCCAGGTGCCAATTCTGGAGATTTTTCCAGGTGAAAGAAGGAGACAGTTCTTTATGGAAGGAGTTGCACACCTTAAGATCAATTAATTATTCTTAGCTGCCTCTCGAAGCATGCTTTAAAGATTACTGTTTACTTTTCTGAAGGTCCGATAATAAGCTGGTGATGCCACTGCACTTACGTCGAATTATTTTAGCTTTCGGGTCTTCATTAATGCGAACCACGTTGACAATGGATCGGGCCTGTTGGGCATATCGCAAGGTGCTGAGTGTCTCCTCACTGTGGTGGTTTGATGGGGAGATAGTTGCGATCATGGCCGTTTTAGAGTTGCCTCCTAGAGATTCCTTCAACAACCTGTCAGAAGGAAAAAGGATTACATAAAAAATATACGGATATCAATAAATGTTATCTATTTGTTGTATTTGTCGACAGTGTTTGTGGCTTGGGCATTGCATAATGCTTCATAATGCCAGGGTGCCAAGTTGGATCTCAGCTGCGGATGATTTGTCTTTTGGTGGTTCCAACTGTGGTAAAGACAGCTGACTGTTCAGTAGGCAATGGCAAACTACTTAATGTAAAATTTACCTAAAAAAACCACAGCAGCCCAAAAATGCTGTGGTTGGTTCTTCAACGTCTTGTAAAGGATTATGCAACTAACGTTTATCTCAGAAATTATTAAAGAGAAATTACAGCATTGTACTGTGTGACTTTCAGTGTAGGATACAGTGATTTCTTGGGTGAGTCCAGTATTTGAGCATCATGTGCCAACTCAGCATTTATAGAAGCTTCCATGGATGGAGGTTGTGGTTGTTGTGACAGTCCTGTTGGGGATATTACTTGTAGATGACAGGAAAGAGGAAATCTCGTCTGAAAGGAATTAGTTTCCTTTTTGGCAGGCCAATAGTGGGTACAGGAAAAGCAATGGACTGGGCCAACATTCCCAGTGCTCTCAAGGAGGCAGGACCAGGAGATGATACAAGAGACAATGCTGAAATGGCGACACTAAAAAAAAAACTACAAGAACTTCGGGTCAAAAGAGGTGTCGCCAAACATAAACACTATACAAGTAGCCAAACAAGAACACACATGCTTAGGGATTTTCTAAAAATGGGATCCGAGCGCTTATGGACTTGTCTGATGTGCAGTGGGGATAATAACTATTTTACTAACTAGGACGGAGAAGCTAAAGAAACAAATATGATTTTCCAATGGTATAGAATTAGACAAATGAGATGTCTGAGAAGGGCTGTAAGAGTGACCATAAGAGATAAGATCAGGAATGAGATCATAAGAGAACAAGTCGGCACAGAACCAATTCTGGATTACATACAAAGACAGCAAGTGAAATGGTTTGCCCACTTAAAGAGAATGCTTGTGACACCATACCATACAAAGCATACATGGAAAGAGAAGAAGGATGTAGAGCACGGGGTAGACCAAGAACAAGATGGAAGGATAACATCAGAGAAACTCTACAACAGCACGATGTGCCTATGGTCGAGGCAGCCAGAAGAGCTAGAAACAGAACCTTATATCTCCCTCGACACCCACAGCGGTAAAAGAGGAAATGAAGAAGAAGAAGAAGAAGATAGAATTAGACACACAGGCCCGTCTTACATTCTGCTCTCTTGGCCTCACTACTGAGGACACAATTCTGAGGTCAGGCAACAATGTAATATAACCAGAAAGGTTTACCTGACCAACAATTGCAAGGATGCAGTAGATGAGTTTGCCAAAAACATACGGACGCATACTGCACTTCTGCCGGGAATGGGAACAACAAAAGAAGATTTGGCATAAGCTGGCCAAGTGTCTATGTTAACTTTTTTTTTATCTTAATATTCATATTATGCTATATGAAGATAACATGCAACCGAGATAAAATGTATTTGCTGTGTGAAAGATAAGTGTATGAAAAAAGTCAAATGTAAAGCGGAACTGCACATCCAATTTGTGACCCTGTGGAAATAAAGTTTGTTCCGTTGTTCAGTAAAGGACAGAAGAAAAAGAAAGCAATGTTTTCTTTTCTCTTTATTGAACCCTGTTGCCCTGAGAAGGCTAAATCTAGGCTCTTCCAGTTTTCTTCTTTGTTCACCAGCTGTACGCTCCAGTGGAAAGTCCTGGCTGTTCAACCATTTGGACTTTGGCTTTGTGCCGGGGCCTGAGTTTTTTGTGTAAACCCGTTTTACTAGCTTATTTGTGTGCAGCTGGTTGTTTCTTGCCACTCTGGCAGATGTACTCAGGCTTCAAAGAAAGTCCCCAGTTAGTCAACTCCTACGAATGCTTGTTGGGGAGACAGTGGGTCTATTCTTGTTTTCCCAACAATGGGGACCCAGAACAAACATGGGGATCTTCCAGATGTGACAGCCTTGTTAATGCTGATGTCTCACCATTCTGCAGTGACCTTCTCTCACAAAGTGTTGTTAAATGCCACTGGTTCTATGCGAGTCTGTGTACTGTTTAAGAGGCCCAGATGTTAATATATTAATTAAATATTGCATTTACAGAGGCTTGCTTGCAAATCAAACAGCTTTTTTCAAAGCTAGGTTTGCTTAAAATATTCCTATAAGCCTCATTGATGGAGGTCAGCGGGTCAACTACGACATGAGTCACCCACCCTATACATATTAGATTTAGGTTCGGGAAATGCATTCCATTTAATGCTTCACACTGTGTTTACTGCTTACTCTCTTTATATATCACTGCACATTGTGAAACAATTTTTAAATGTCGATAAAGGAAATTTTTTTTTTTTTACAATGTATTCGTTACCTGTGTAACATGACAAAAGGGTTAGACGTTTACATAGGCGCATAGTTCTATCACATGTTCTTAAACCATGTACAGAAATCACTGCATACTATCTTCTCTGCATCAAACCTGTAGAAAATCAGAAGGATGTCTGAGCAGAAACACTCACCAAGTAAGGACAGAATCTCTGTAAGGGATGAAGATTTTCCTCTTCTTGCTGGACACAGATCTTTCAGACAACAGGGCAATGACTTTACCCAGCGTCAGCAGGGACTTGTTGATATTTGCACCTTCCTGTGAATAGTGGTATTATCAAAGTAACATTGTCAGCAGAGACTTGATGTTCGCACCTTCCTATGAATAGTGGTATTATCAAAGTAATATTGTCAGCAGGGACTTGATGTTCGCACCTTCCTGTGAATAGTGGTATTATCAAAGTAATATTGTCAGCAGAGACTTGATGTTTGCACCTTCCTGTGAATAGTGGTATTATCAAAGTAATATTGTCAGCAGGGACTTGATGTTCGCACCTTCCTGTGAATAGTGGTATTATCAAAGTAATATTGTCAGCAGGGACTTGTTGATGTTCACACCTTCCTGTGAATAGTGGTATTATCAAAGTAATACATATGTCACAGACTAAGTTATAGGCGTATGACTATTTGTACAGCGTTGTTTTGAAAGGTGTGAGTTTGTGCACCAGTGTACATTTAGACATTGATTTTGGAAGGGCAGCAGGGGAATGGAGAGAAAAAGAAAGTAAGGTTTTAGCTAGGACTGAGGGCATAGGTTTGTTCCATATGCTTTGCAAGTAAGTTTAGATGTATTAAAGTCAGTGCTGAGTTCATCAATGACTTCATGAAGGCATTCTAGTTTCTTCATTTGACGCCATGTTTGGTTTAATTGTTTCTCCTTCTTTTTCTTCGCATTCACCGGGTGTAACTTCCGAGGAAAAGTTCTGGTTGTCCACCTCTGGACTTAGTCTTTTTCCAGAACCTAGTGTTGCGTGCACATATGACTTAATTGTAAGCAGATTATTGATCCTTGCCTCTCAGGCCGATGCACTCCAACTTCAAAGGAAGCCCCCAATTAGTTGACTCTTACGACATGCTTGTTGGAAAGGCAGTGGGTCTATTCTTGTTTTCCCCCACAATGGGGCCCAGGAACCCACACGGGTAAGATTTCACTGTTTAATTAGTACTTTATTTAAGACAATTCTGTCAGCAGTGCAAACAAACATTTCGTACTCATTTTCCTATTATACCATATAAACAGTTTAGACAGTTTTCACCATTAATAGCCTGCTTACATAGTAGATGGTTTGGCCATCCACCACAGAGTCATGCGAAGAAATATAACAAACACGAAGCAAGGGGGAAAACCATGCAAAATATGGAACGACAGCATCAAGAACAGCTTAAGAAATAAAACATACAACACATTCGAAGAAGCATTCAAAAGATCCATACGTCTGACCAACACTTCAATAAGGTAACTGAACATCTCTGTGGTAAAGTGGTCAAGCCGTTTGTTTTCGCGCTCTAAAAGGTCATAGGTTCGCTTCATGGCTGCGTCATTTAATTCATGAGTGCAATTTTTATGGAGATCCCTGGGGATCGTCATCAGAGCTACGGAGTTCGTGCTCTGTGCGATGCTCTCGGCAGGCAGCTAGCCATTCTGCTGAGAGAGACTGAGCCATATGGGATCAAACCCGGTGCAATGAAGCCGATCCTCTTGACTTTAGCCTTTAAGTGGAAGAAGATAAGAAGCAGAAGAACAGCCAAAGAACATTTGAGAATCATTTCTTATACTCTCTAAAATAGTATAATATGAGAGCTTTATTTAATTATATCAAACATAACAACATATTCCAGGCCATAAGGTCCCTGTGTGGGTGCTGGTACCCTATTGTAAGGAGAGGTGGGGGGAATAGACCTACTGTGTCCCTTAAAAGCATGACCTAAGAGTCTACTAATTAGGGGGTTTCCTTCGTAGTTGGAGTGCATCTGCCTGAGAGGCAAGAAACCAACACCCTGCATACAAACAAGCCAGATCTGCAAAACAGATTTTCATGCCAAAACTCAAGTTTTGGAACAAAACTGATGTCCAAAAGTGGGTGAACATCCAGAACTAAAGTTACAGCCAGTGAATATAGACAAGAAAACCATAAAAAGGGAGAGTAAGGACAAAAGAGTTGGAGAATATCCAAGAAAGAATTGGATATATACACTGACAGAATACATTCTAGTGGAATGTACCACAATAGCTAAGGGCAGAAGCGGTTCATTGATAGACCTGAACCCACAGGGTCAAAGAAAAATAGAGAGGTCTCTTCTTCTTCTTCTTCTCCTTTGTGTTCACCAGTTGTAAACTCCGGCAGAAAGATCTGTTTCTTTGGTTGTTCACTACTGGACTTTGGTCTTGTTCCATAACTTGGGTTTTATGTGCACATCTGTTTTACAGAACTGGCTTACTTCTGTGCACTGTTGGTTTCTTGCCTCTCAGACTTCCATGAAAAAACCGTAATTAGTTGAGGCTTGTTGGGAAAGGGAAGGGGGGAGATGAAAAACAGGTTGATGATCAGCACAATTTACAGTGAAGACAATGATGATCTCCTTGGTCACATTCACCGGTTTTAAACTGGCAGAAAGTTCTGGTGGTTCATCCACCTTTGGACTTTGGTCTTGTTGCAGGACTTGAGTTCTGTGTGCACATCCACGATGATGATGACAACAATGATACTGGATGATGATGGTGATGCCAACAAAACAAGATACAGACCCTGAGCCGCTCTCCGGAAGTGTTGGCTGAGGACTGTCTCTCACTGCCGGCCAGATCCACCAGGTTAATTTTACTGTTGACGCTGTGGTCATGCTCATGGCCTTCAATGTTTTCAGTCTGAAATCAGTCAAGTTCCATTTACTCGCTGAGAAACTCATTAAACACTGGCGAAAAGTATATACTTGTCACTTCTTCTGTTGTAGTCAACTGTTACACCAACTTCTCAACGAAGCCAAAAGTGGAAACTATAACCTAAAGTGGAATTCAGATCCTGAGGGGAAACAGTTCAGTCCTTAACTCTTTCAGGACTTTTGTTTCTGGGGTTTGGACAGTATTAACTTTGAGCTTAAATTTGTTGCTACAACATGACAAAGCTAAAACCTTCCTGAAGAAAAAAGCACTAGCTGTAAAGTGACACATCTAGTATATCAAATTAAAGAGACATGAATATAGAATACATCTAAACTATCTAAGTATCGATTTTACAACAAATGTTAAAATGACAAATATTCAAAGATGTTAGACACGCATGAAGATTTCTTATATGTGAAGTTCTGTATTTATTTTACTTTTTTTTTTTTTAACTTGATCAATATCATGTGCCCTGCCAACTGGCGTAGGCGCTCATGCGTCTCCACTGATCACGATCGCTGGTTGCCTGGAACAGCTCTCTTGATGATATTCCCCTATGCCATGGTTTCAGCCCATCCAGCATCATCTCTCTTGGTCTGCCTCTATCCCTTTTCCCACTGATCTTTCCAGTTGTCACAATGTTCTCCAATGTCTCTCTTCTCATTATGTGGCCAAAGAATAGTGTTTGTCTCTTTCTTACTGTTGTATATAGAGATTTACTTTATTAACTTGTGGCCCTGTGAAGAGATCCTGGCTCCCCGGGGCGCCACAGCGCACAATCTTGGAATCACTGGGTTAGGATGAAGTTAAAAAAAAAATGTCAATCAGGATGTCCATGTTTCGATTAGCTGTGTCTGGAATTCGGGTGTTGTGTGATTTGACAGTCACAAAAAATATTAATAAAATCCAAAATATTTAGATCAGTTGTTTCAAATAAAGGCCAGCTGATGTATAATTGTAAAGAAAAGTCACGTTAATTCTTAGAAATGGATACTGGTGTTGTTGATCAAGTTGAGTAAATTAAGAAGAATTTGGAAGCAACAGAGATGTGGTTTTTGAGACAAATGTTATGAATATCTTGAACGGCCAGAGTAACTAACAACAATTACTTTAAAAGAAGCTAATGTTTTGTTTGTTTAGTATCCAGAAGCCATGAGTTGTTAACCCTTAGGCTCGGTATTATGGATATCGCAACCTTTTGGCCTTGATTCCATTGTAAATACCGTAAATCTGGGAGAAATGTGGCTTTCCTGCCTACCCCTGGGATTGAACCCGGACCACAAGGAGTTCGTCACCCAGTCTCCGCGCAATCCGGTTTAGCCAACTACGCTAGAGAGCCGGGTAAAAGAAGCTACACAAGTTGTGTTTTTTTTATCTTTTAATCTTTTACATACGAACAGTTATACTTTTACTTAGGTTAGGGCGCAGTGAACAAATTTTGAAATGAAAATTGTATCACATTGAATTAATTAAAAACAAATAAAGAATTCAACCCATCTCATCCCCATGCTTGGAAAACAACAATACTCCCTTTCACTAATTCTAGTTTTTCAAAACATGTTTATTCAAATTCATCTTCCTGGCAAACGGAATAGTATTATAGTGTCTATGTGTGGAGCCTCTTAAGTGGCGTTCCATCCAAAAGTGATGGATTCAGAAGTCCCTAAACTGGCGATACGTCCACAAAGTGTTAAGCTACAGAGATCCCGATTTATCCTTATCTGTTTGAGAATGATAGTGAACGCAGAATGGGACCAGTTGCTATTAAGGCCATTAGCTCAGTTCCTTCACTACAGAGATCCCAACTTACCCTTGTCTGTGTAAGGACTATAGTGAACACTGAATGGGACCGGCTGCTCTTGTCGTTCATTCCCGTGGCAGCCGTGGCACGGTTCTTGTTGCCAAGAGTGATCCACCCCTTGAAAAGAACATAAATGCAAAGATAATTATAATTTTTAAAAAGTTAGTGCAGTAAAACCTCTTAAATATAAAAAAATCGAGCTTGGTTTTTTTAATACAAATTAAATGCAAAAATTGTGCCAGACAACAACAAAAAAGAAGTGAACTTAATAAAAGCTTATAAAATGAGTGCTTACTAGGGACTAAAAATAATATTACATCCCTGCTGGGAACTACATTTTGTTCATGTTCTCCTGAAGCGACTCTGTGTTAATGAGGTTTTACTTAAATACTCTTGCTGACACCTCAAAGTATTGGTGGTATGATGGCAGTCTCACTGTTTTAGCTCTCTGTATGGGTTTCGGTTCCAGGGCCCCGCTGTAT